TGCTACAATAACCTACGAATGTGCTACATTAACATACAAATGTGCGACAATAACATACGAAGGTGCTACAATAACATCCGAATGTGCTACAATCCCATACAAATACGCTACAATAACATACAAATGTGCTACAATAACATACGAATGTGCTACAATAACATACACATGTACTATATTAACATACAAAACAGAATTAGGGGGATTTTACTGAAGATAGGATACTTAGCTACATCTCCAAAACAACCAAATCACCAGATTTCCCAACTTATCACAGCATGTACCAAATGAGTTGAATAAAGCTAATTGCCATGAAACAATGAAGTTTGTCTTTGGCTGAATTCCAACCAAAGAGATTGTTTAAGATCATCACATATTGATCAAGGTACAGCGTCCTATAGTCCTGCTGACGTTACAGGTAGTGCGAGAGAAAAACAAATAGAGGGTACAAAACTTGTAAAACATCAATATATTTGCAGGGGCGGGTCCAGGTGAGGGCGTAATGGGCGTACCCCTTTTCAATTTTTTTTTTTTTAAATAATAATATCGTAATCTGCTAATATTGTATTGAATATGGCAAGTTATCATATTCATTAATTAAACACATACTCTGATAAAAAATGTCGAACCCTGACACTTTAACTATAAAATATACATGCTCCAAGTCAGGAACCGTTACATTAGTGCATTTCACAATTATTTTATGTTTTTTAGCACGGCGAAAGATTTTATTCTACGCCCTCTCTTTCAAATATCCTAGAATCGCCCCTGTATTTGTGCAGCTTTTTATCGGTCAATTATTGTACTAGCATGTCAGTCATGTGGGGAACACATGTAGTCTGAACTTGGGATCCTGTAACAGTGTGTAAATGAGGTCCAAGCCTTTCAGCTGTTGATCAAGTAGTCATTTCTCTTTGACATCAGTCAATAAAGCTGAGTTTTTATGTATCACTGACATATCATACATATCCAACAATACACTGGACAGAAGTCTAGACTGTCTCCTTAACCTGGAGCTCCAAGACCCAGACATAGCAGTATAGCCATAAGGTACCAGACCTGGGGTTCTGCCGGTATGTCCATGTTTGCTATTTTGAGTGTATGATGTTGTTTCGGTGTAAATAAGTTTTGGATTAAGTTGCTGTGTCTGTGTTTACATGTTGGTGATTATGCTTCTGTGTCTGTGTTAATAATCTTTGAACTTACTTACTGTGTCTTTGTATCAAAGCGTGTGTCCTGGTCTGACTGCTATAGTCGAAATGGTAAATCAAGATATTTCATTGATTCTCAGCAAGAGGCTTTGCTAGAATATGACAACATCATTATTTTCAAGGGTTTGCTAGAGGTAATATTTTTTTGAACAATTTTATTTCGAGTTTCAGACCTTTCGTCTTCACAAAGTAGAAAAGTTGCTTTGCACCATATATTCTGAACTGTCACTGGATGTGTGCGGTGAAAGGGAGGTAACTCGTAAACATGGCTGATTGTGACTCACCGATCCGATCTGATGGATTTTATTATAGATTTACTTACAACTGATGTTACTGAAAATCTTAAACACGAAAAGGAATTCATCAAGAAAGAAATGAAAACCTCGGCCATAATGGTAACTTCAACTTATATACCAACCATATGATACCACAAAACGAGGATAGCATTTGTCTTTTGCGGAGTACAGGGACTCCCTATATACCTATCGGGTTTAAACATGTACCTAAGCAAAAGTAAACTCCTTATAAGAAACAGCAGGTGTTTCAGAGGAGCAGTCATTTCTTGAACCGCTTGTGACAACCGGCACCATATATGCCTTCAATACAGGAAATAACAGGTATATGTGACTGAAGAAACAGAGAGCTTCTTTTCCTTTGATATATAGCAGACACGTCATTAAGGTTGAATCAAATCATATCTCATTTTAACTATGTCAGATAATGAGATGTAATAATATATACGATCCTTTCCATTGGGAACAGCCGCTTTGACTTAAAGACATTGTAATGTTTTGAGTCGCCTATCTTCGACCACAAGTTTAGAAGTTTCTTCTGGCCCCAACACAAGACATCTAAGAAGACGACAGAGATGAACACGCTATGTTTTTTTCTTTCTGATGACGATTAAATATTTCAGTTAAGAAGATGCATTTTTGTCATTAAAGGTTGACGATGAAAAAAAAAGTGGTAGGTGGAAGACGAAATATTTTAGTTCAGAAGATGCATTTTTGTCTTAAAAGATTGACGATGAAAGGAAAGTGGTAGGTGGAAGACGAAATTTAAAAAAAATTGGATGCAGATACATACGCCACCGCTAACACACAAAGGTGCATCGGAATTCGGTACATATGGTCAACCAGGAACCAAGAAGATTATCAAAGCAAAAGGAAAGTCATATAGACCCATAGAAACGCGTAGACCACATCATTACTCAAGAAGGAACATATTTACTGCACCTCACGCAGTATCCGTCATTATGTATTCCGTCAAATCGAGCGAAATGTGAAGGTCATCAACGGTTTAAGACAAAGTGGACAATTCACTAGTTAGTTTAGGGACTTGTCAGTTCGTTTGAGTATGATCAAACCCCGTAGATTAACTTAACTTTCTATACTTTTGGTGCAACACGTTCCCTCAAAGATAATCACCCACATTTTCACCCTCCTGATACGTCATATTAAGAAAAAGATAGAATCGGAATTCATATATGTAGGTTGGATATATTTAATTTGTCCTTAAGTTATAAAAATGGTACGTGCATAGTGACGTTCACGCAGTCGTATATACACCATTAAGGTTGGTGTCTTCACAAGAATAGTTCACCGCCATTATAGCAAAGCATTCTCTTTTGCAGTCCAATTGTTTCTACGAAGTGACATATGAGATAAAGTTTGAAATAAACCTAGGTAATGCAGAAATTATTAAAACACGAATTCATCACGAAAGAAGAACTTCGGCCTTAATGATAGCTTCGAACACGTATATCAACCATACACTTCAAGGGGATGGTATATTAGATTAAGCAAAATTGTGTTTTGAGATTTTATACCCGTAATTCCTATTTACTACCCATGTTTATATTCTAAATGAATAGGTACTAAAAGGACATCACAACCCCATTAAAACAGAAGGTGTCAGAGAAGGTGTTACAGAAGAGCAGTCGCTCCAGTACCCAAGAACATGTGACAACCCGGCATAACCTATCCGTTTAGAATTGGAAATAATGCGGATGACTTACGAAATAGTGAGCGTTTCGTTTGTTAGTGCACACCCATCATGAAGGCCGATAGGATAAATTCATAGTTAATCTAACATAACAGATATACGAAGTGAAGTAAATCTATAATGTCTATTAAATTGGGACAACCAGTATGTAGTACAGCGAGTCACAAGGTCAAAAAGATATAGGTGAAAAGGTATTTCTAAGACATATTGGCTAACAATACAATGACCTTGAATACTGAGACCGAAGATGATCGAATTTCATCATTTCAGGATTACAACGAAAATAAAGTCCTGGGTAAAGTATCGACATCGCCAATACACGAGGTCAAGTGTACATCCGGTACTAAAGGTCAAACAGGAATGGTGGAGGTACCAAAACAAGAGGAAAGACAGCCCGAACCCCACAAAAGTGAAACCAATATTCCGGAAGGGAAACACATTTCCTGCACCTCATATTGCACCTGTCATCATAGAATCAGACAAACTGTGAGGATAACCAATGACCAATGACACAGGATGCAGATCTCTAGAAAGTTCACCGATTCGCTATAACCTTGGACTAGTTCAGCAACGTCGCGTGTGGCTGACTGGGTGCACGTCCACACGTGACAAGGCCATGCTACTACTGGGGAAAGGCGCATTCAGGTAGTCAGGTGATATATTTTGTTAGTGACATGAAACAATATTGTCATACAGCCATTAATTTCAACTTCTGGAAAATACACGAGATGCCATTAATTCGCGGGAGTCTTGCAAACTGGACAAACTGCTTGCAGTACTTCTTAATGTGACGTTTTCTGGCAAAAAGTATCTTATTTCTTTCCTGAATCACTGAATCATTGGTTGACATCGAGTGAAGCCAATGACTTCTTGTGATGTATGATCAATTGTCGATAAACTTCCGCTGGATACGACTTCCTTCCGGTTGCGCTAGCAGGTTAATTTTCAATACTTATAGTTAGCTATTAACAATATTTATGTACATTAATTAATTTACAGTTACCTCTGATCTGAAATACTCCTTTTGAACAAACTCGGCATCAGAAGTGAATACAAAATACCGATCTACTTCTTGTAGCAGCCGTTCATGGTATAACGCCAATGTAAGAATTCCAACTGATAGTGGAAACCCAATCATCAGCAGTGGAAATGTTTTAATTTGGATTGTGAGGCGGAACCAATATTTGATGCTGCCATCGTTTCAAATGATGTGAACGTTGCATTTGTCTCCTGTTTGCTCAAAGAAAATATATCAAAAGTATCAAATTGATAATATAAAGATTCGTGTTCTCATTAAACTTATGAAAGCATGCCGGTTATAAATAAGGGCTCGTACAATTTTCCTCCACTTCACCAAAATATAACGGGCGATAACTCTTTGTGTTTGATTTAATCATTTACTGCTTCAAAATCAATACTGAAAATATGATCCTGAAAATGAAACATGTTATTTCATGTATTAAATCTCTTGTTCGTCAACACTTTTTCTTGTCACCGAGTCTGATATTGCAGTCTTCTTTTGTTAGCAAAACCATAACTCAGTCACTATAACTAGTCATTAATAGGGATCTGAGGGCGACAAATATTATCACACGTTTCACAACCTTTGAAACGTAATGAAGCATTGTATGATTTCATTTAATTTGATGATCATTTATATAAATAATTCTTCAACACAGGTATAAATTACATTCGAGTCATATTTAGATATGGTTTTGATTGGTAAATGCTTGTTTTTTAAGAGACATCAATCTATCTCGTATGATCGGTTGTTTGTGGAGTACTTACTGATTCTGGTTTCGGGAGACGTGAAGTTGATCTAGATGGTTCCAATTTACGGAGACATAGGGAATCACCGTCAGCGCTCCAGAAGCTTATACCTTCCATTTCCGTCATTCCCCGGGGACTATGCGCTACTACACACCTGGTTACGGTAATTGATGAAACATGCTTGTGAACTCCACTTTTGTGTTGTTTGCCTTCAACTGGAAAAAGTAAACAGTCTGGATAAGGTCGATATGTATGCGGTATTAAATAAATTGCGTGAAGGCAGCACACCTTTGTTAGCGTGTAGTCTGGGGACATAGACGGCTTCTTTTTCTGTCCTAACAGTGATCACAACAGAAAGCGTTTATATCTGGTACAATGGTCCATAAAACATATGTGAATCAATCAATTATATACCGTTCAATTGTCGATATTTCCGCCATTCATCATATATATACACAGGACAAATTTGGTTATACCATTATAACGAAGTGCAATGTTAAACAAATTTGGCATGTGTTGTTGAACATTTCGGCAAAATTATAATAAAGCACCACGTTTCTCACCAACTACCTAAGCCATTCTTCCTTCGACACAGTACCCGATGTGTGTCTAAGATATAGATATAATAATGCTATATTATTTTTAAAAGAGTCAAATATGAAGATTAATACTCACCATGAATTGTATCGATAGTGTATTAAAATGAAGTTGAATATATCCACAACAATGTATATATCCACTCTATATATTTTATGCACTCACTGTATATATCACACTGTAATACACGTGTTTATGCCCATACAGCCACAATACTTCGTTAATGTAATGAGCTAATTACTCGGGTGTATCGCCGCTATATATAATTCAGCAGTCACACGCCGTGAGCGATATGTGGTCCTGGGAAACTGTTTTATACCTACACCCGTGCGTGTCGACATGCTTGTTGTGTATTTGTATACACTATAGAGAAAGTGTATAGGTTCACTGTCAGTGTGTACATAACTCATCTAAACCTACCCTAATGCTGAGGAGATTATAGTACTAGCCGTATAACCTACTTGTATCTCTCCTAATGCAAAGAGGATTATAGTACTATTACCGGGGTGCTTACCTTTATTCGGGCTGGAGCGACCGTATTATGTACGTTTATAATAAAGGCCATTACAACTATACACTGTTATATGTGTATAGGTTTAATGTTGTTACACCATTATGTAGGATATCACCTTGGTGTGAACGACTTCAGAGAAATTACTTACTACGACAGCCACGGCAGACTGTTGATCTAAACAGTATGGTTATTTCAGTAAATCAACACAATATCAATACATATTCAATATATATATAAATCAATATCAAACAGAAGGTAAAATATGATTTTCCTTTACAATGAAGTGATTATGATAAATTGATTATGTTACATGCCATAAAACAGGAAATACAGACAACAGGACCGACATTTACCTCACGCTTGCCTGAAAACGTATTGTTGAGCCAGTCTGACCTTCGAGATAGCAATATGTGAAACAACCCTAACTCCTTGGTATATCACAGACATCATTGGAAGCTTGTTACAGTGCAAGTAGGTCTATGTCCGAGGTATTTTTGAACTTACAAGACGAATCAACTAATTTTAACTTCATGACAATAAAGCACTTTAGAAAATATTAGCATAGACAATCAGAAATGATATCCTGGTGTATGAACGCGTGTCCGTGCCCAGTCGTCTGTTTCGCGGAAGATGTTTATATTCTAAAACAATTTAATGACTTTTGCAAGGAAGAAATGTGTGATATTCCGCTCAAGCAGAAGATGCAACTTACCATTTCATCATGTCATACCACCGACATAGAACCACTGGTACTGAAGCAGGCTTTCAATGGTGCTAGACCTGTGATGTACCATGGGTTGGTACTCATGTATGGCACGCCAAGTTGTCATTTATTAATGGAGCAATGCTGATCCAGTACTTAACCAAATTATATAAGATATCTTATAAACATATAAGATATCTTATTTAAAGTTTATGAGATATCTTAAATCTTTTATGAAATATCTTATATAATATATAAGATATCTTATAAAGAAAAGTGTATAAGATATCTCATTTATGATATAAGATATCTTATATAATTTGGTTAAGTACTGGATCAACATTGCTCCATGAATAAATGACAACTTGGCTTGCCATACTCATGTCCCTCGAACTTTGTCATAATCCAAATGGTCATTCCACGGAAGATCGTAGTGGAAAACTTTTGATAAAATATTTTGATCGTGTTCGTATGGTTTAAGCTTAACAAATGAAACGTTTCGAGAAAACAAGGGTAAAGTTATGTCAAAGCAAGATGCTTCCAATATGAAACCAAAAAATACAAACCGATCTAAGAGGCTGTTTGTTTCAATACTTACCGAGGGTGACAGGAAATTTGTGAAAGACCTCCCAAGATTTTTTAAATCACACATATGAAATCATCTGGCCGATATATTGTTTCCTTTCTAGAAGCACATTCCTGTCATGTTCTTGGTAAAATATACACTGCATTGTGGGAAAGTTATACTTTGCGTTAGAGGGTAAAGTATAGTTTGCCTTAGGGGGTAAATTCTTACCTTCATTATGAGATGAAGGTACGTATACACTGTATTATGCGTATATTGTACACGGCATTATGGGTACTTTAAATATACATTAAGGGTATATTGTATATTGTATATTGTTTATTCAACTTGAAGCCTTACGGTTCATAAGCATATATAGCAACGTATAATTGATACAACAGTGATATGAAATACCAAATAATTATAACATCATAAATGAAGCATAATCTTGTACATCGCATGTGTAAATGGACAGTATAATTCTTTAAATTATTATAAAGTACAAGATAAGTAAATTATCGGAAGATGGACAGCTCTTATAAAATTACCTCACCGAATTATAAGTGTACTGTGGCTATCGGAAAACAGATGAGGTGACAACATTTTCTTAATAACCGGGGCTCAACAAAGAGTATGTTAATTATAAAAAAACAAAAACAGGCATACAATTTGTAAACAGTGATGTAGTGATCAGGGGATGGACAAAACAATATGTGTTAACCTGGAAATAAACAAGTACTCAAATGTTAGTGTGATAAAAACACAATAACCTAAGGTTGGAATCTAGACCGTTCTAACCAACTTGATTGCAGATATTTTCCTAAATTACATAGCTCTTTTCTGTTATGTACAGCCAGCAGCTGGACAAGTTTATATGAAGATGGGCTGCTCCAGTAAACTTTTTAAGGAACTTTTACGAATATCAACATAGAGTGGACAAATCAGAACAAAATGGAACTCGTCCTCTACCAGGTTTTGATTACAATAACGGCATAACCTATTCGCCCTCGGAATATTACGATACCGACCTTCTTCTACATATAACTGATGCGATGAAAGTCGTAAAGCATACACTGAGTTAGAAGAAAATTATTATCGGCATTATGGGTAAATTAGTTGCTGCATAAGGGTAAAGTAAACAATGCCATATTACTTTATGGACGAACATTTTATAATTCATTTGTAGGTATACGTATACAGTTTACTTTTTCATCTTTTGAGTTTGTAATTGATGTGTAGAGTTGACGTTCAAATATAATTCCGAGATACGAGTAGGATTTGAAGGTCGATCACAGATAAATATAGGCTAATGAGATACGTAATTACTTGTCACATCACTTGAGCGAGGATTGACGCATCAAATGATAAGTTGTTCACGACTACAAAACTATCACAATTTTGTCGTTTCACAGGTTTGCTCCAAATTTTCAACAAATGTCTGGACGGTATCTTTGTATCCATTCTTCTTTCTCTTTTACATCTAATCCTGAAATGTTTGCGTTACTTTTCCCCACCCTCCTCTGGGTTGCCATGACAATGTTATAGGTTGTCACTGCCAATTTGTTTCAGGTAAAGCGTTCAATTTGACGAAATGATAAATTTCCCAAGTAAACTAGGTCACGGTTATGTAGTGACATTGTATACATCAAATATATAAATAACAGGTATAAATAACAGGTATAAATAACAGGTATATATAACAGGTATAAATAACAGGTATAAATAACAGGTATAAATAACAGGTAAATAACAGGTATAAATAACAGGTATAAATAACAGGTAAATAACAGGTATAAATAACAGGTATAAATAACAGGTATATTTTGAAGAACTGGTTTTTTTTATGTATAATTATAAATTTTGTCGAAACAGCCTTACCTCAGTACTTCTTTTAGACCATTTGGCGTTTCCATTTTTGTACACTATTATACCTAATACCAAACTGAAGAAATGCCCTCGTTTTCTTATCCTTGGGGATTTCTTTTCCAAGAAAGGCAAACGGCTGCGGTTGTTGACTATTTTTGAGTATATTTGGAGAAAATACAAAAAAAATAAAAAAAAATTAGGATGACATGGTGAGCATGACTGATTTTCTTGCTGATTTTGTTGTTGTTGATTTCGGTGGTAAGATGTTCTAGCAAACTGTAACCATTGTTATAACACAAAATGTGCACCCACTTGTTTGCATAGGCTGGCTCTATCGCATAGTGTTCAAGTTGGGTAATAAAGACCTCGCTTAGTCCTTCAATTTCACTTTCAGATATATTGATGATATGTTATCTTTAGTTTACAAGCTATTTATTGACCTATCATATAACCTCCAGAACTTGATATCAAAGTTAATACCGACTCTTCTTCATCTCCAACAGTGAATTTTCCCTTTTCTGGATAGTAATATCCCTTCCTTCTACACTTGCTGTACCTAACGATTTGCTGCGAATATTTCGATTTCCATGATAGATGTCAATTGCCTTTTATATGTAACACAATGGAATTCACTCAACTCCTGTATAAAGTCAACCCAATCTCTTGTTGCATTTAAAAACTGTTTCAAACATGACGTTGTTCCTATTCCAAAATTTTTAACAGTAGGAGATAGAAAATTTACAATTTTACACACCAGACTTCGGAACAAATGCAGCAGTTTTCAATATGACATTTATAGAGTTAACCTCAGTGATAACCCTTATTGTTTATGTGGGGAAGTAGAAAATGTACATCACTATTTCTATACATGTCCAAATTACTCAACTGTTAGAAATCACCTGGTAAGAAATCTTAAGAACTTAAATCTTCCAGAGATCCTCCTAACAGACATAAACACACTTCTCTGGGGTAATCATGATCTCACTTTTGAACAAAACAGTAAAACCTTTACCTATGTATGTAAGTACATTAAGGATACAAACCGCTTCTAGTAAGTAGTCTTAATTACAACAATTACATCATGTTCGAGGATTAAATTTTCTTTTTCTGTGTGAAAACCTCGGTTAATTCTCTATGAGTAGGTCGGGGTACAGAGAAACAGTCGTCAACAACCTATTTTAATAATTCAACTTAAATTAAAAAAAAATAAAGAATATCAAAAAAATTGAAATGTACATGTTAAGACAGCTATGATGTACGTAAAATGTATGTAAGTTCGGAGAGGGCTTAATTAAGTTGTAAGAACTTGTGCCCAATCTTTTTTGTCATTTTCAAGGCAATACAAATATGTTTAAACAAATTGCTGAGGAATAAACTTACAAAAGATGCAGGTATATGGAGCCTATAAGCAAGTTGATGGTCGCAAAAAATATCGACATTTTTGTTATGCTCATTAGTGAATCGTCGATGGAGCAGAAGACGTATACATTTTTTTCTCCCCCTTTTTTTTTTTGTTTCTTTATTTTGCAAGAATTTTCATGTTTATGTTTCCTTTGATTTTAGCTTTCATTTCACCATCGATTTTGAGTAAGAGTGACTGTTTTTTGGCATTCTCTTATTTTGTTTTGTTTGGACTATTTTCCTAGAAGTACACCAGGTTATTATCAAGATAAACAGCAAAGTGTACATGCAGTTTGAATACGTCTCTCTTGGCCACTATTTCGTAGCAATCCTATGCTGTAATGTGTAGGCTAATGTCTAACGTTATCTCGTCTGACTTGCAGTGGAACTGAACCTGGATACAAGTCTGACATATGTGAACTTATCAACCTTATGTATTATCTTCATACTATTACACAAACATAGTCAAGGAACGAAAGGATTGACAGCTATCAACAACTTCAGCTTTCATTATGTAAGTATAAAGTAATCGTCATAGGTATCTTTAATATCAAAATGAAGATAGCAAGATAAATTCGACGTCTGTCTTGTTTTCGTCAGTGTGTGTTTAGAGGAGCTCCGTTGACATAGACACTTTCGTTCCTGGCTAACGCGACTTGAGTCGTTGCTACAATACCTACGAACTCCTGTGAACGAAAACGTATGTCCCCTAAAACATTAAATAGATAGTACCGATGGGATTACTAAGGATCGTCTGTCTACAATTAATTTCCTGTCAAAACATTTATAGAATTAAAGGTATTTTGTTAAAGATATGGTTTTATAATAAGAACATAAACAAATGTGGCTTTATAGTAATGACACGTTATGTTAACTAGGTTCCAAATGTCAAATAACAAAAATGTAAAACGTGTGAAATGTATTGACAACAGTCGTTGATAAGTCCGTTTCTGTTTGTACAGCAGTGTCTTATCACAGGTTGCCTTCAGGTAGCATACAGCTTAACTTAACAATATAGCTGACACCGTAAGATAAGGTCCAAGAACGAGCATTCCAATAAACCTCTCCGAGACCACCAATGGCAAACAGTCTCCGAGATCACCCCTGGCAAACAGTGTCCGAGATCACCCCTGGCAACAGTCTCCGATACCACCCTTGGCAAACAGTCCCCGAGACCACCCTTGGCGAACAAGTCTCCGAGACCACCCCTGGCAAACAGTCTCCGAGACCACCCTTGGCAAACAGTCCCCGAGACCACCCTTGGCGAACAAGACTCCGAGACCACCCCTGGCAAACAGTGTCCGAGACCACCCTTGGCAAACAGTCTATGAGACCACCCTTGGCGAACAAGTCTCCGAGACCACCCCTGGCAAACAGTCTCCGAGTCCACCCTTGGCAAACAGTCCCCGAGTCCCCCCTTGGCGAACAGTCTCCGAGACCACCCCTGGCAAACAGTCTCCAAGACCACCCCTGGCAAACAGTCTCCGAGATCCCCCCTGGCAAACAGTCTCCAAGACCACCCCTGGCAAACAGTCTCCGAGGTCACCCCTGGCAAACAGTCTCCAAGACCACCCCTGGCAAACAGTCTCCGAGATCACCCCGGGCAAACAGTCTCCAAGACCACCCTTGGCAAACAGTCTCCGAGACCACCCCTGGCAAACAGTCTCCAAGACCACCCTTGGCAAACAGTCCCCGAGTCCACCCTTGGCAAACAGTCTCCGAGACCACCCCTGGCAAACAGTCTCCGAGACCACCATTGGCAAACAGAGAGACCATCACAGCCATATCTGTCAGTTTATGGCAAGAGGGTTAGCCTCTTTTAGCAGAATGGTTAAGGTAAAACAAGCCATTTGAAAGATTGTTTGGTAAGCCCTATATTCCAACCCCTTCATAAGTCATATTTAAATACCCTGATGAAATATCGATGTTTTTATGTTTTATATCAAATGCATGTAGCAGCACATTTCCGCGATTTCGCGGGTCCAGTTTTGGATAAAAAACGCGAAAATTGAGGTCCGCGTAAACAACCCGTTATAACGGTATTTAACGTGAAATTTAATAATTAGAATAGTACACAGCTAGGATAACTTAAATCAACATTTAGGCATTGCAGCCGCCAACCAATATGATTGAGAAACCACTAAAAATCTCCAGTACAAAATGTATTATCTTCAGGCTATGAATTAAAAAAGCAACGGGTAAGTAACATTAAGCATTCCTCCCTCCCCGGGAAATAATTGTTGATGTGGCGTTGTCCTACTGTTGTGTTTCTATGGCAACACTCACCGTTATCTTTGTGACATTGATACTTTTGTAATGAGATGATTATGTCGTCTTTGTAGGCTAACTATAACTACCCTTCCTGTGATATTTATGCTGGTGTTGTGTTGTCACATTGGTACTGTCGTCTGTGAACAGCCGTTGGAAGAAGACCTAAAACACTTTGACATTCGAATCCCTACGCTAGACGTACCGACGAAACGAACGCACTATGTATGTCAGAAGTTTAAGGTAAGTAAAGTGATCAATGGAGTTAGATCCTTATACAGGTGTCTTTTACTTCACTCGACTGCTGTAAAACAATATAACGTTAGATCAAGGGTTTCTGTTACCTGGTATTTATTTTTCGTACAAGCTCAAGGAAATAATAACGCTGTATTTCGAAAAACTACATCGAAATGTCGAGTTCTTATATAGATATTTCGAGATAGTTACATGAAGAAAACGAAACAAACAAGTACTTGGACTTAATGCTCCTCCGTACGAGAAGAATTTCTCTAACGTTATATTGTGATTTAATTTCCCTCGCGTTGTGTCGTTCATCCAACAATATTTACAGTCCTAACTGACATTCACTCAGTAACCATTGTTCTCGTAAACCGTATTTATCATATCACAGCTTAACCATAGAGTGTGACCAGTTTCCATAAGGTCGACAACAATACATACTGGCGAAATACATTATTGTGTGATGTAATAAAAAGAAAAGTGGTTGGAGTCAACCAATGGTTATGCAAACGTAAGGCTGTTGCATATTTTGAACCGATTACATGTAAATGTTCTAAAAATAAAATGTGTATGCAGTCTACGCGTGCTCAACTTGACTTTTCACTTCATAACCTGACCAAGCCAGAACATAATTCCTTCAACATTTCTCGAGATGTCTTGAGTGGTATTATTTATCTGCTTTGGGATAATTTCCCTTGTTATTAAGGTATCATGTTTTAATGTTATTTCAATAATTTGGTAGGAAATATAAATGATATCATTTAACTCAAGCGAGATCATACCCCTAACAAATCTGCTACACTTCTAAGGTGCCTGACACGGACACGTTCCATGCAGTAGCGTTCGAACCCCTCATCTCTAACCATCACGTGGTGCACCACATGCTGTTGTTCGGATGTGACTTTGATGTCCAGGACACGGTAGGTCTCACCATCACGTGCTGCACCACATGCTGTTGTTTGGATGTGACTTTGATGTCCAGGACACGGTAGGTCTAACCATCACGTGATGCATCACATGCTGTTGTTTGGGTGCGACTGTGATGTCCAGATTACGGTAGGTCTAACCATCACGTGATGCGTCACATGCTGTTGTTTGGATGCGACTGTGATGTCCAGGACACGGTAGGTCTAACCATCACGTGATGCACCACATGCTGTTGTTTGGGTGTGACTTTGATGTCCAGGATAGGTAGGTCTAACCATCACGTGATGCACCACATACTGTTGTTTAGGTGTGATTTTGATGTCCAGGACACGGTAGGTCTAACCATCACGTGATGCATCACATGCTGTTGTTTTGGTGCGACTGTGATGTCCAGATTACGGTAGGTCTAACCATCACGTGATGCGCCACATGCTGTTGTTTGGGTGTGACGTTGATGTCCAGGACACGAGAGATCTAACCATCACGTGATGCACCACATGCTGTTGTTCAGATGTGACTTTGAGGTCCAGGACACGGTAGGTCTAACCATCACGTGGTGCACCACATGCTGCTATTTGGGTGCGACTGTGATGTCCAGGACACGGTAGGTCTAACCATCACGTGATGCCCCACAAGTTTGGTTGTGACTTTTCAGTCCAGGACCCGGTAGGTCTTACCATCACGTGATGCACCACATGTTGTTGTTTGGGTGTGACTTTGATGTCCAGGACATGGTAGGTCCGACCGAGCCTCATATCTACTTCTTCCTCCCTTAACTTCCATCACAATATTTTGCCTCTTTAGCCCGTAATAGCTGTATCCCATTTTAATTAAGGCGATTTTATATTCATTCCCTATCCAAATGTCGCCCTTAACTGACGTTACTATCAATGTACATATTCCCTTTTATATTTTGGTCGCATTTGACGACAGTAGGTGCATCAAATGATCCTCAGATCTCTCTTAACTGCTTGGATGCTTGCAATTTACCATAATCATTCATGGTAACTGACGGAATCATAAGTCCCAATCTCACTGCATAGGTAACTTCACGTTAAACTTTTCTTAAGTCACCTTCATCTTTTTATATTGGCTTTTGCCTTCTTCCTTCTTGAGGCGCTTATATTTAAAGATACCCCGTCTGTTATCTGGCTATTGTTTGTTTATTGATTTATTTTTAGGCACCCCATGATTGTTCCGCCGCCGATGGTCAATGTCGGTCATGGCTGGCCCAATGGACGATAGGAGTAGACGGCAAGATATACACGCCCGACAATGCAGGCGTACGGTTCGGTAAACACAGCTACAAGTACATGTCCTTGCAGATCCACTGGAACAACGAACAGTTTGCTGAGAATCTCACAGGTACCTTAGAATTGTTGTAAAACACTTTAATTTGTTTGAAAATACCGGATATTCAGTAACTGTGGAATATTGGACAATTCTTTAATCGCTTATCAACGTTATCATATATAAAAAGTAGACAAGGTAGGGTCAGGCAAAACAAACACCAAATCAGGCTGGTTCTACTGAAGAATCTTGGAGGGCAAGACATTTGGTATTCCTTTTTTTGTTGGAGCTGCATTAAAAAGTGGGTTGGGAGTGTCATTCAGAACTTTAACCCTCCGGGCTTCTTGACGTTGACAAAAGAGGAACAAACTATTGTATCACACTCCGAGCGTCCGAAGAAAGGATATCGGCTAAGGCAGGTTTTGACCATTGGCTTGGCCAGAGACACTTAGCGACATTAATGGTGGAGTTGTCATCCCTTAATTGTTTTCACGCTACGTTTATTGACTGATAAGGGATAGCATTGGAATACATCAAAAATTGGTAGATATTATTGGTAAATCCCATATGAGATAGAGGAAAATCTTCAAGACTATTTTTTAAAACTGAAAAACAGGTAAATAGGGAAGCACCTCTGCACGCGCCATACATTATACGGATACTTTTTTGGGTCCAGTTTACCATTCAGGAACAACAGTGTTTTTTTGCCATTTTCTTGCTTACAGAGGCATTTATCTTTACCCTTAATGGGTACCTATCCAGTTATATTTTCTAACTTCGCATTAATGCTATTTTCTTTATTATTCGTAAAGTAACAGTTGATTTTTGCCTTTACTGTAAAAAACATAATATTTCTTACATTGTATTTCAAATTGATTAAAATGAAATGATCAGTTAAATGAAGTGACAACTTTTATTTGTTGACAGATAACAGTGGGATGCGGATCTACTACACGTCTAAATTACGTCATTATGACGTAGGAAATGTTCAAATTGGACAACAAGATCTTGACATCCCACCGAACACAGTTCACAACGAGTCTGGAGGCTGTAGCGGTACCTGTACAGGGGCCATGTTACCGTATCCGGTGTACCTCACCAGGACCTATATCCACATGCATCACCTCGGTCTGTATTCCAACATATCCGCCTATGTACACTAAACGGGTGGCTAATAGTATTGTTGTCACCAAGATATTTGTAATTCCTGTTGATCAATACATATGGAAATATGATTTTTAAATGGCAATTAATTAAAACAAAATTTCAATTAAGATTTTAGTGGTTTAGGGAAAGTTTGAATGTCTTAGATAATTTCACAGAAATAATGTTAAAAGTGAGTAAATAGTTTCTAACTGATAAGATGTTTCTTAATGGACTGAATTGCTAGAAAGACTTTTTTTTTAGATATACTACCCTTCATACTCGATATCCAGGGGTTACGCTCACTTTCGCTCTTTGCAACCCTGGAATATGTCTTAGCAAAATCGAAGACTTAGCTTGCAGCACCTTGTGGTTTAGACGGTAAGACTAATGAGATTCAAAAGAATCTCGCGGTTGCGTAATGGTAAATTGACTGGCTTTGTAGTTGGGCGTCGCACCTTTGTGTCGTCAATTTTGCTACGACATATTCCAGGGGTGCAGAGAGCGAAAGTGAGCGTAACCCCGGAGTATCAAAGATGATTTCCCTTAAATATTGGAACATATTGGAATATGAAAATTGATTTCAATACCCACCCTTAATGAACGAGCAATTTTATATGATTTTATGTTATTTTATGCTGCCATTTTAAGTTTGTTTAGATAATACCATCGCTACATGCAATCATCACCTCTTTATGTAGGTATCAAGGGTCACTTGGAAGTGTATCGGGATGGCAGATTCTCAAAGAAGGTGGCCTATGACATGGACTACGATTATAAACACTCACCAATCCATGAACACGACCCACCCATTGAGATAAGGCCAGGTACGGACATATCTGATGTAATTATTGTTACGTATACTCTGTTTGATTTTATAGTGTATATATATTGTCTAAACATTTATGAATCAAACTTCAGGCTTCGATTGAGTAGATATTTATCAAATGTACAATATTTTAATTTCTTGGTTTAAATATATGTACTAGTTTTGCTATCATTTACATTGAACTGTTTTATTCAAATTCCGTTGAAAACACTCTATATTCAGAGATTTCGAATAAAAAACACCACACGGTGTTTTTCTTGTGACGATATGGCTTAGTTTGTAAGTATGACGTCTGACACTCCGTTTCAACTAACGGTTCACTGAAGGCTTTTAGATATGGAATATATACCTTTGGAGGAGAATCTGAAGATATCAAACACTTCGTAACTCAGAATCCCTCTGGGGGTGGATATTCCCCCATTTCCCCAAAAAGGGGATAAATGATTCCAACAATCATGATGACGTTATTGCCCTTTTCCAATCACTAACAGTCGGTACACCTAATTGAAACATAGGTTTGTTTACTTACAGGTGACGAGATCCGCCTTACCTGCACATTCGACTCGTTGACGGGAGACAGAAAGAGAAACCATTCCCTATACTTCGGGGAAGGGTCTGATGTAAGACGATTGTTGATGTAAATAATGAGTATGTATATGTAGCGTTCTTGTATCTATGTAGAGAACTTGTTTGTTTACCAAGTACATTGTTCTTAAAAATAAAATCAGGGCTTTTAATCAAAGGAAAGATTAACATGGAAACCCCTATTAAACCAAACTTAACTTGTATTTGGTTTTCATTTTGGGTTCATAGACCTGATAGATTTGATCCATTCTGAAAGAGAATACAATTCAGCGTGCTCTTTGTTTGTCTAATTGCTAGCGAAGTCTTCCACGGAATCTATTAGTATATATCTATCTATCTATATGTTATTAAAATGGCTTTAATGCGGAGGGGGTAAGTACGCATGCGATGCTTAGCTTCGTTTAGTCCCAGTTGGTGAGGCTTAATGCTTAAATGCCTCTATTCCTTGCGCCCCGACTGTGATGTCGTCCAGGTGGTTGATCCAATCTGTGGCTGTTCACACAAAGAATGAGTTTCTGTTTTGTTCTGTATTGCTGTTGGGTATTATGACTGCTCTATTATTGTTCCTGATTGAATTTGGAATTGGTCTTGATGTCTCCCAGTCCTGGAATTTAAGCTGCCGTGTTTTCCTTTTTTCGCGCTGGAAATGAATAAAGCCTTTGCTAGGCATTGACGGAATTTGCTCCTCCACGATTTTATAATAGAATGTTAGTCTCTGTTGTTTCCGTCTTGATGCTAGTGGTGGAAGTTGTAGCTCTTTGAGGATGTTTGTCATGAATCCCTCTTCACTTGTTCTGTAGTCCTTCTGGACGAAACACCTCCCTCTTCACTTGTTCTGTAGTCCTTCTGGACGAAACGCCTCCCTCGCCGTTGAATACTTTCCAATTTGTTAATGTAAAAATATCTTTGGATTCATATTCCAATTTATACAGTATATTTCGAATATTACAAGTGGGTTCTACTAAAACTGTTCCTAGTGACATTCGGACACCAGCGTTTTCTTAAATATGTTGACAATGAAGCACAAATTCAGATGCAATAGTAACCCAATCATTTTTACAGTACAAGCCCATAATGTTTATTCAACAAGTCCTCGCCTGAAGGGTCCAAAGTATCTAAAGACTTCTGCTATCAGTTGGAATGGGAATTTCAGGATGTTTATGGATCCTGTGGAAGCCAAAGAGAAGACGGGAAAATGCTGACTTTTATTCGCTTTCAGAGTTGGTTTTATTTATCAGGTCCATCATTAAAAAGAATATGCAGTTTCAAATCAAAAATAGAAACAAGTCACATGTCTGCATTTCTCAGAACAGGTACGTTTTATACCTAGATATGTTTGTTATAAGACTGCTGTAAAGTTTGAAGCTTTAGATATTTTCCTGTATCACATACAGGCGGAGATGTGTTACGCCTTCGTGACGTACTTTCCTAACGTTCCATACTTTGACCAGTGTATCCAGTTTGACGAATACGACATCAATTGTGTTGAACCAGGAAGTAAGTAATACAATCTTTCAAACAATCTTCTTCTGTCTATTTTTTTTACATGATTGATATAGTCTGATTTAATGAGCTGGCTAAGGGTTGACTGTCCTTCAAGTTTTGCTATAGGCCCTTGATTTGTCTGTCTCTTTTAAGCATATCTAGTAAAACGTTTAAAAGGGCAGAAACTTAAAAACAGGTAAAATAAGAGAAGTCAAAAACTGTTTTATCAGATTTCCTTGTAAGTATAATAAGCCATGTTAATGCATAAGAGTATTTTCAGTTACCAACTCAACCCCGAGTTTTGTTGGATGAAACTGTTTTAGCTCTCCTTGAACACTAATGAGGGCAAAGATTCACAAAGCTTGGTTGAATATTTTAGACTTTTGATTCTTTGAACAGAAAAAGATATACATAAAGAAAACACAGGTGTGTCATAGTTGAAAAAAATGTCTGTTTATGACTGATGCACTTAATTTATTTGAAAATAATAGCAGTTCCTATATTTGTAGACGCCATATAGCTTCTTAGAGTGCATTTTGATACAGTTAAAACTTTGATCAATAGTACTGGGTTCTTTTTATTATCACGAAGAACCGTTCATGGGAGGTTGTAACTTCGGAAAATTCCAACAGGATCTTCAATCACACCTGTTGGAAGACATCACAACGAAATGTCAAAACAAACTGGCTTTATGTAGTCAGGAATGCAGGACATCAGTGACCCACCTTCTTGATCATCCTTGCCTTCAGGTTTGTTTGCTTTTAATTCAGGTACATTGTATTTATGTTTCATTGTTTATTTGATGCATAACCAACAAGTTAAAATTCCGTATTTAATACAAAAACTGTTTCATCTCACAGCTTCATTTTGAGGCGTGACATGTACCATTAGTCCTCATGATCAGAAAATATCCGAGCTTTTTTCGGCAATCGATGTTTTGGGTCAAACTGCTTACAAATTCCAGTTTATTTCTTTAATTTGATTAAGCAATATATATAATGATGGATACAATTGTTAAACAAAAGATTCTTTTTCTGATTCACTCTGGACTTGTTTGTTTTCTGCAGTAGTCTTCAACTGTCAACTTTTAGTAGTAATAAAAGGTTGATTTTCCAATACAAATATCATGATGGTCTAATATAGTCACACAACAATAGCAGATTCAACCAAGTTCCATGGGGTTTATTTCAGGGTCGTCTGGGCTCCTACAGCAAGAGAACGATTCTGTCACAGATGCCAGCATGGACCGACACGTCACAGGTTGTGACCCGCTTCACCGAGGCATGTAATGTAACTCAAACCAACTAACGGAAGTGTCTTTTATTTATATTTATTTCCGACAGAACGGTCAGATTTTCGGATTATTGTTCACATTAAAAAATATTGAATCAAGTTTTAAGTTATATTTTGTCCTTGACATGGTTTTAATTGAACAGACTGTAAAACATTTCTTTGTGTATTTGCGAGTTATTTTGAGGTTAAATATGATAAAGAATAGGTTGAAATCACAACAACAAAATTGGCACTCAAAAAAAGAAAGAAAATCCAAAGGATCGGAGAAGACACGTGATTCACTGTCGCTGTTCTATGCAGACAATACGTAATTGTGGACAATATCAAAACTGTTGTATTGATGAATAAAACCCTAATACATTGTAACAGGTAACACACATTGAATGACACAGGGAAATGTTCGAGACAAGACATTCACAAAATCTTTTAACAAATATCACAAACTGAAAAATATAATAGCAACGAAAAGATCAATTCAAATTGAATTTTTATTCATTTTTTTTTAGTCAATGAGGAATAGTATGAGTATGGCATATATAGTGTCAAACATGTACATGAACTTAATGGTATCGATGTGGACCAGTATCTAAAGTGGACCAGTACCCAAAGTAGACCAGTACCAAATTGGACCAGTCCCCAAAGAAGACCAGTACCAAATTGGACCAGTCCCCAAAGTAGACCAGAACCAAAGTAGACCAGAACCAAAGTGGACCAGTACCAAAAGAGGAGCAGCAGCCATAACTGACCTTGTTTCACAGAACTGTTTCTTAATCTTTATCATTGCTACCAACATCCTTGTAGCTCCCTGCATCAATACAAATCAAACAAGTTCGACTGTTTCTCAAGAAATGTTCAAGGAAAACAAAGCAAGCTGATCAACAGTTAAAACAGCTTGCCTCAATGTTGCTTGGCAGACCCTGGACATATTGTTTTCCCTATTGTCTTCAATAACACATCTTATAACACAGCTTAACAATTCATCAATATATCATTTCACTGTAAAATATTGCATTTTTTACTCAAATTGGACTCGATGAAACAACCAAAACTGTTTATGAATTTGACTAGATCTGCATTGCCTGTGGGTATGAATACACATTTTTAGAATTTGCAAGAATTAATCACACACAATCCATTTTTGATTCTTATTCCATAACATTGCTGACAGAGTGAAGTATCAGCTCACACTACATCACTGTATGATAGTGCTCCAATGACGGACTCCTGTTAAATCAAATATTTTCGTGGGCCCCAAATTTTGCTTCCTGAAAAAATACCATTTTTTTGGTACATGAAATCGTTGATTAGAGTACCCACACAAATAGAGAATAGCTTTATGTCAAACTTGTAATAATTTCGTAGACTTATGAATTCGTGGAAGAAGATTCCCCAAGAAATCAAGGAAATTAAAAAAACCCAACAAAAATGAGTGATCTCACAGTATATTTCTAACATAAGAATTTTGTAAAGTTTCAAAATGTACAGGTTTACGAAATATAAGAACTTAATCTTGCTTTGGCCGATTTTATTTCAGTTGGTCTTAGACAAATTCAACATGAACCATGATTTGACTGTTAGACCAACCCAGTTCATCACCCCATAAAATCAATCAAAGAAAGATTCAATCCTTAATTTGTCAAACGTCACACAGGTACAAAAACATAATGGAATATCAAACATATTGTAATTAGAAATTCTCAAAAATTAACAAATTAGCATGTAAAAGCAAAACACCAGTGACCACGTTCTGATAGTAAACAATTATTTACCCCAGATCCTGTCCTCCATTTGTAACAAATTGTAAATACACACGAGAAATATGCAGGCAGAGCACAAATCCTGATTACAGTGTATGTCCATCCAAGTATGGTGGCAATCATGGTAAACTTTATTTACTACTTCTGTTAAGAAAAATACTCAACAGGAAAATTTGTGATGATTAAAATTATGAGGATTTGGTTGGGACATTGCTATATTACATGTATACAGTAAAATACGACGTTATATCTAAAACAATATGTTTATTGCTACCATCCATATTCATATTAAGTACAACTCTCTTCTCATCCTAAAAATATAAAAAAGAGACTCTAAAACAAAGATAAATGCTGATTTAATGCTAAAAACATTTTTTTAAAAGATTTGACTCCATTCAAATGAAAAACTGACTTAACATTCTCAAAATACTGAGACTGTAGAAGATGTGTAACCTGGATGTCTTTAAACACCAAACACCCTGTAAATCTAACACTTGTCAGAAACCCGAAATTTACTGGCGTAAATTATATCATTTAAGTGTATTCTGAATTAATTTTTATGAGAATAACAACACACACCACCAAAATTAATACAGAATAATAGTTAAATGACCATTAAGTGAAATACAATTTTGACCCCATCGAGCCATTTTTGTAAATTAAGGATTTTTATGGTCTTTTCATCAGTTTTCGGGCTTTTCAAGGCCAAACTTTTGTTTTAAGGGTTTTCATGGTCTATGCGAAACCTGAGTGGTTAATTTCGGTAAACAGGACCAATATCATAGGCCCATAGGGCTTGTATGACTCACCTAGATACTTATCTTTATAATTAATCATAGCAAAATACTTTCGATTCACTCAAAGTGATATTGCAAATAAGTCTCCAGGGGTGGGGCCAGAACTCTGAGCTAATCCTGGTAGCATGACAGTGTTCATCTTGCCAGGCTCAGCAAGCAAATACATTTGTATATATTGTAAAAGTGTAGTGCTTTGAACCATTTGCAACTGATGACCAAAGGACGTATATACATGTATATAGTCCACTGCAGTAAGATAAGAATTGTTTTCATCTTTTCATATCCAGCAGTTGTATACATTGCTATAGTGTTAGGAACTCAACCATTTTCATATTGTGACCCAGGGGTTAGTCTCAAGGGCACACCACAAGGCCAATTCTTACAACATGACTGTACCTTTAACATGAACAATAAGTATGTGGTTACAATTATGGGTGGGAATCTCATAAAGACTATGAAAAGATTCTTGTAACACAACCAATAAGTGTTTCTATGTGACACTTTGATGACTAGTACAGTATGTACTCTGTCACCTTTACTAGACAAATGACCAGTGAAGCGTATGTCACAAAGGTGTAAAATGTGAAGCGTCACATGAAAACACTTACTGGTTGAGTTACAAGAATCTTTTCATAATCAATACTTACCAACCTGAAGAAAATGTTCAGAAATATTTTGAAATACTTTCCCAAAGAAACCTCCAATGAATAGGGCCAGACCCTGAGGACAATTCTGGTGGCCTACAAGTATTTGTAGCTTCATGCTCTGCAATTGTATATATGGGAACCACAACCTTTACCTCATTCACCCCTGAAGTTCATAATGAACTATTCCAACCTTTTAATTGGAAGGGTTCAAATGTGTCTTCAGGGGTGAATGAGTTAATTTTCATGTTATGACCTGGGGAATATTTCTCCCTATATTTCAGCCCCCTCTTTTTGTACAACTCTGAACCCTAGAGGAGTGATACATGTCTAAAAATTTAAACTTTATTCATGAGCAAATAACCCTTTTGTCCCCACTTCTCAGGCCTCGGAAGAGTTAGCCACTTAATTTGTAAATTGGTTTTAAATTTTAATCATCAAAAAATGGATGTAAATATAATTGATATCAATCTCATAGTTATAGAGAAGTCACTTAAGCTTAATGATCCCCATACCACTGCCGAAGACTTTTTTTTCAGTCATGATGAAAGCTTTCATTAATAATTTCTGAAAAGTAAACTATCCTTTGCAGAACATATTTGAAAAAATAATAAAGATGAAATATAACCAAAGATCCTGTCGTAAGATCTTCATTAGATTTATGTCGGTTATATCTTTTCCCTTAATTTCCCTTTTTGTCTCAAATCTGTTGGACTGATTGTCTTGTCAACAGTAAATGTATCTTGTGGTAATCTTTGATTGAAGGTTCTACGATGCTGAGTTTGTGATTGTCTTTCCAAATGAAGGCTATTGTTCATTATTAACTTCTTGAGAAATAGTGATCACAAACAAAATAGCTCAAAATCCAAAATGGTTATCTGGCAGATATCTTCTTTTTCTGATCAGCCCCACAATGAAACATATGAACAACTACCAACAAAGGTATGAGAAAGATCTGTCAAGCGCATATTGAAAAAAATAGCAATAATATAACAAGCTAATTAAATTATCAAAATCCAAGATGACTGCCTCGCAGCCATCTTGTTCTTTTCCTATCAGTCTTAGAAAGAAACATACAAGACTAGGGACTAAAGAAAAATTCACAAATGTGAAATGTGAGAAAGATCCATTCAGTACATGTACTTAAGAAATAGCAATACAATCTGTATAACAGGAATTGTTTTCAGCATGGATGGACGATGGACAATGATCAGCAATAAAAATGTTCACATTGAAAAGAACTGAATATTCAGTTCTAGTCTATATAAACTGTGTTTACTACTTTTTGCTGTAAAAAATTGCCTCAAATTTTATCAGCAATAAAAACGTTTAAATTGAAAAGAACTGAATAGTCAGTCCCAGTCAACAAAAGTGGACAAGAGTAAATTGTCAGCAACATGTTACTCAACTATTGTAGTGCATCTCTGATCTCATCAAATGTCATCCTGTCAACTCCAGCTATACTCGACTTTATCTTCTGCCACATATACATCAGCTGCTGTGGTGTGCCAGCCTCTGGGATTTTCTCCATCAAGTCTACCCAGTCAATATCACTTTCTGTTTCAATGTCTAGTTGTAATATTTCTGCAACCACTTCGTCCCTGTTCAGATTTTTCTTCTTATCGCTTCCCTGTACCAGCATGGGCCGAATTTGGTACACCCAGTGACTACGACACTGTTTTCCGTTACGATTTGACATCCTCTGTCCAATGCGATTCCAAGGCATATTGAAGTGGGGTAGACTGAGCAGGTCGTCTACCTGCATCACTTCGGAGATCACTTGTAACAAGTCATTGGTCTGTAAAAATACATAAAGAATACAAAAATATATAAATGATGACAAAAATGATCAAACTGTCCCTGTGCCCTAGATAGCTAGCAAGCATAGTATAATTATGTATAACAAGAAGCTAGGGACCTAATAGGCAATCAAGGTAAAGCTTCAAAAACTTTCTTGCTGCTGTAAAGCCTGTACATGTATTTCAAAGGGAAAGTTGTGAAATGCTAACTTTGCAAATTAAAGTAGAACTTGCTTTGTTCATGGGTCATGTAATACCTTATGTCATCCAAAGAAAACCCATCTGTATCACATATGTGTGAAATTATAGAAGGTGCAATTAATCCACCATTAAGGCATTTGTCAACCAAAACAGGTTTCTCAACCAAATGTTAAAGCATTTCGAGTCAGTTTGTGTAAAATCCATTAATTCTGTTTTATGATATATATATAAACAGATATTATGTAGTTCCATTGTTTAGCAGGTGTTGATCTACATGTGCTAACTATCATGCTGACGAGGTCAGCAAGGCCCCTGCTATGTGGCTGACTGTACCATCACGGTCTATTTTAAGTAACAGTGACTTTGACATTAAAAACTTTTTAAACTCCTTTATTTTTGGCACAAAAAAGTATCACAGTGTATCACCATGACAAATTTCTAGAAGATTATCTTTTTGGATTCCAGGATTTCAGTAAGTGACCATTTCACATCAACATATTACAATTTGAATCCCCACCACCTTATAATTAGAATGCTTACAACGAAATGTGGTTGATATACATCTCTTATTTTAATTCCAATAATTACATGTAGCTGCTAAAGGAAAATGTCCAATTTTATGCTTTCTAGCCCTTTCTAGGGCCTTGTTTTTGGACCAGTCTCAAAATGCTTTGGACCGAGGGGAACCTGCATGAGAAAATTGTAAAAGCTTTGTCCTGTATTTTTTGAGCAAGAGCTATAACAAAAAATGTTTAAGAATGATGACAGGTCACAGATGAAGAGCGATCTGATGAGTTGGCAAAAAATAAAAACTTCTGCAGACAAATGTGTCCTATAAAGGTAGAAAAAGTGGTATCATAATTACCTCATCCTCTGTCCATTTTCCCTTCTTCCTTTGTCCATCTTTAATGATCCGATAATGGTCAAGCACACTATTTCTTGACCGATTCAAGTGAAAACCAATTATTGTCCATTGATTACCATACTCTCCAACAAGTTTGAGCAATTTTCTTTCCTCTTTGTCCGTGAAAGGACCAGTATTCCATGCAGGCAGTATCTTTCTGGCACGGTCCATTACACTTTCTGGTGTCCTGTCACAGGTAAACAAATGTTTTATTTTCATTGCAATAGCGCTTTCATAACAACATAACAATATATACCTGAAGTGAAGAAATATATCAAGCTTGACTAAAAAATATAAACTGGCGATATGGAAGATGATAATAATAAACCAAAATAAGGCATCAAAATGAAACCAAAGACGTACATACAGCGTACTACGTATGTAAAACTTCCATAAAACAAGAGATCCATGGGCCAAGATAGCTCATCTGGTTTTTATTTTTCAATCTGACTATCAGAACAAAAAAATATTTCACAGAGATGGGATACTGTAAATGTACATGTACAGAAGAGTGAGAAGACCCAAATCTATTATTTTCACAAAATAATATTTCCGGTTTCCTGCTGTACTGATCATGACCCCAGAGGTTTGTTCCTACCCTTATTTTTTTAGGCATTATATATGTGATACACATTGTTAAAGTCAAAAGTTTCAAATAGAAACAGGAAACACACATATTATCTTTTTGGCTTTAACTTGAAGTCCCCCCTAAAAGAGTATAAGGAGTAAATATATAAAAATTTAACTGTTGACTCTATTCTCCTTCTACCCCTGCTGGAAGCCACACCCTCTTCCCCAGGAGGCCTGTCCTATTAACCTTAGGAATGTATACAATACTAAACTCCCTTTGGATTTGTTATATTCTGTCAGACATTCTACATTGATACACTATATATAGCACAAGAACTGCAATACCATGGGGCAAAAAAGCTGAATTTGCATGTCCTTGTATTTTATTCCAATTCCTATACATGTATATATATATATGGGGCAAAGAAGTAATTCCAACAGGGGGTATATATATATATATATATATATATATAGCTTGTTTATACAGACCTTCTTAAATTGCCAGCCAATCGGACATGGAAGCTGCTTTCTTTGAGAAATGTCTTCACTCTGCTAAGTTCCATTTTTGCACAGCCTATGAGGTTTAAAAATAATAACTGCATGAGAAATTCATTATCAATGTCAACGACAGTATCGTTCTTTATACTTTCAAAGTTTTCCATCAAAATTTCGTCTTCCTGTAGTAACCACTTTCCAACACGAAGGGAAATTCCCATCTCTTTTAAATCATCAACGTCTTTCTGACGGCTTGAAAACTTTCCAGAATGGACAATGGCCGTTTCTGCTTCAGTCAAAGTCAGAGCTGCAATACTCTTTTGTCTGGACTGTTTTCTCTGTTTTGTACTTTTTGACGAAGACTTTCTTGTTGTTTTATCCTGGTCTTCTGAAGTGTCTCCATTATCAACAGAGTCAATCTCTTCATTAGTACCATTTTCTGTCTCCTGGGGACTTTCAGAAGGACCAGCAGAGTTGGAACATCCTGAAAAAAGAAGTTATAAAGGTTATCATGTTATCATGTTACCCTGTTACAAAATACTAGCCACTTCCTATCGATGTGATTTGGTAACATACATTTAAGACTAGTAATTATAAAAGCCAGACGGCAGAGGCACTGGGTCCAAGTCCTAGCGGAGGCATTGAAAAAATAATGACCTCTACAATTACGTCACCTTTGAATTTGACTTTAGCCTTAAATTGAATACAGAACAGCATGTTTTAATATCAGGATCTAGATGAAGTTTGACTATAGTACGTGTGCTGGTTACATATATCAAGTGTCAGCCACGTCACATGCCTTTAATTTATAAGTCATTACTTTATGTATTGTAGTATGAAAAAGTTTGGAATCCTTTATATTTTGGTTCAATTATTCAATGTGATTAAGAGCTTTCAGAGATGCTGAAGTGACGGAGTAAAAAGACAGAAACAAAAGTAGATAAGTTTTGAATGACAGGAAACAATACATGTAAGTATATTTTTTGCATTCATATAATATTGCTGAACACCATGCCGACCCTGTCAATTATCTGGCGCTGTTCGTTTCCACTATATACAAATGTACGTAGTGCTCTTATAAGTACCAGCATCGATCTGGCACTGCTAATTCAGATAATGAACTATCAATTAAACATGTACTTGAATTTAAGCTTACACAGGGTTTGTACAGGAATTTTACTGTGAACATAAAGACTTTTAAAAGTTTTTTTCAGTAAAAGTAAGGCTGAAATCTTCAGGAATTTGCAAATTCTCAAAATACAGAAGTCTGGACGTGAAACCTGGTTGTCTCTAAAACTCAACATATAAACATCAATTTAAGGCTCATTTTGACCCTTTCAAAACTTTTTTGTTAAAATTATGTACTTTTAGAGCGTTTTCATCAGTTTTAGGTCTTTTCAATATTCCAATCCTTTGTTTTAGGACCACAATCTGGTACTGTACATCAAATACATGGTCTGCTGATGTCAATATATATACTAACACTGTCAATTACACAGTCTGGTGCTATTAATGAGTAATTACACGGTCTGGTGCTGTCAATTACATGGTCTGGTGCTGTCAATTACACAGTCTGGTGCTGTCAATTAACACTGCAGTCACTTACACTGCATGGTAGTGTCAATTTCTCTTCCTAACACTATCAATTGACAATTACTTGTATACTGTAAATTGACAATAAGTGTCTGGTACTGTCAAAGTGTCAATTATCCTATATGGTACTATCAATTACATTGTCTGATACTGTCAATTACATTGTAGGGTGTGCTGTCAATTACGTTGTCTTGAACTGTCAATTATGCTGTCTTGTACTGTCAATTACACTAACACTGTCAATAACTGTAAATACAGTTCCACTGTCTGGTACCGTCTACTACACTGTCTGATACTGTCAATAAAACTATATGGTACTATCAATTACATTGTCTGATACTGTCAATTACACTGTATGGTACTATCAATTATACTGTCTGAAATGTATACTGTCAATACCACTGTCTGGAACTGTCATTATACTAACACTGTCTTGTACTGTCAATAACACTATCTAGTCCTGTTAATAACAATGTCTGATACTGTCAATTACACTGTCTGGTACTGTCAATTATCCTGTCTGATACTGTCAATATTACTTTATGGTACTATCAATTACAGTATCTTAAACTGTCAATAACAATATATGGTACTATCAATTTAACTGTCAGATAATGTCAATACACAGACACTGTCTGGTACTATCAATTAGTTTACACTATGGTTATGTCAATGACACTGTATTATACTGTCAATTACACTGTTTGACACTTTCAATTAACTGTCTGGTAATGTCAATTACAATGTCTGGTAATGTCAATTACACTGTATTGTTCTGTCAATTACACTGTTTGACACTTTCAATTAACTGTCTGGTACTATCAATTACAATGTCTGGTAATGTCAATTACACTGTTTGACACTTTCAGTTACACGGTCTGGTTTTGTCAATGACACTATGGTTCTATCAATTACATTGTATTGCACTGTCAATAACAGTCTGGTATGGTTAATTTCACTGTCTGGTACTGTCAATTACATTGTCTGTTACTGTCAATAACACTGTACGTATGGTACTGTCAATAACACTGTATGTATGGTACTGTCAATAACACTGTATGTATGGTACTGTCAATAACACTGTACGTATGGTACTGTCAATAACACTGTTGGTACTGTCAATTAAACGGTCTCACTCAGTTCTAGTTCTGTCAATTACGTTACCTGGTAGTCAGTTACATTCTCTGATACTGTCAATTACACTTTCTGATACTGTCAATTACACTTTTTGATACTGTCAATTACACTGTCTGGTACTATCAATTACACTGTCTTGTACGTACACTGTCAATACACTTAGATTACCAATACACTTACACTGTCAATTACACTGTCTGGTGCTGCCATTTACCAGTTCTTAATCACTATCGTTTGACTACCTGGCTCTACCTACCATTTTCAGCTTTTCTTTTGCTTGGAGAAGAATGCTCTGCTTCACCATTTAAATGCTCTTTCTGATGGTTAATGCCATAGACACAAGGCAAACCTGCAGTTTTCTTTGAATGTTTTTTCTTTTTCTTCTTTTTTTGTTTTGTACAAAATTCAGACTCATTTACATTGACAGTCGATTCATTACCATGTTCATCATGGTCTCTTTTATGTTTCTTTTTCTTTTTCCTTTTCTTTTCTCTGTTCTCATCACTATAGCTATTATACACTGTAGATAAAGATGTATCCAAGTCCTTTTCACTTGACAGGTGATCAGAGGAAATATCCTCTTCACTTCTACTCATCCGTTTGTGCTTCCTTTTTCTCTTTTTGGGGGATATGAGGCTGATGTCCTCCATCATTCCAGCTTATGTTGACCGATTGAAGAACTTTTATTCTAAAACCTATAAAACAAATACAAATTATACAATACCCAGATTGCAAAATATCTTCAAACTTAAGTTTGAAAAGATGTCAATACCATGGCCAGCATATTTTTCTTCTTACATTGCAAAATTTACAACAGCTTGTTCCTACATGAGTTTGGGAAAATAGCTTTATTTTTATTGAAATTTGGGAGATATTCCTCATATTTTCCCCGATTTGGAAAAATAAAGCACGTTCTTGCTATAGGTCAATGCATGAATGCAAGAAGCTTGTATTTGACTGTAAACCAAAGGCAAAAAAATCACTGCATATAGTACATGTACATAAAACATACCTGTATGTGTACATGTATTACTTACTTTATATTAGTACATCTGTACTATAATTGCTCCAAAAATGTCATTCTATGTTTGTGTGGTTGAAAATTGATTTGGATCCATTTTATAACCCACAGGTTTTTACGACTGCCAGTATTTAGGCAATAATTGGTATGAATTATTTAGAATCATTGGTGATGGGTGCCAATTATATTGTTAGTTATTTTTTATTACAATTATGTTCTGTAATGCGAGTATAATCAAGCTTCTTTTTTCCCTTTCAGAACATATGAAACATAAAGAAACTCTTAAAGGGGGTATTTAGTCAAATGACACCCTAAAAATTGAATTGATAGTGAAAATATTTACAGTATCCCCTAAGGAAGTAGACTTAGTTGATAATGACATGACCTGAAGCTAACTTACAGTGTGGTCAGTTTTATCCTTTGGGAAATAAAAGCTGGTGATAAATACATAAAGAGCTACAAAATGTATGACCGAAATAGTACAATATCTGGGCCTTCCATCTAGAAGTTAACATGTAAAGTACATGTACCACGATAACAACTGACAGCACAGAGTCAGTGAGTCTGACTTCACAAGTAACACATTCTTGTTGCTCTGAATTTACACAATACATATATTGCAAGCAAGAACTTTAAGTATCATAATATGAAAAATGTGCATTGATTAGGTTGCCTTACAAGCGTCAACTGTAGGTAATTTCCCTTTAGCTTTGGGGTAGAGCATCGGGCTGAAGATCCAAGGGTTGCAGGTTCAAGCCCCATCGATGTCTCCATCTTTATTGCTATTCATCGTCCTACTACAAACTGGTGCTGTTGACCCTCCCCTTTCAAGGTAGGAGAACCCTTGCTAGGAATCGAGTCAAAGAACCTGGGTTAGTGTTTGTGAAAAGGAGGGAATAGTGTAAAAGATGTGCATCGATTAGGTTGCCTTATACGGTATTTGGTTATATCGGCCCAAGGTAATATCGGCCAGGCCTATTTTACCCAAGTGAAATCGGCCCAAGTTAAAATCGGCCCTACTATGTATCTACTATAAATACATGGGATTTATACATTTATAAGTAGAATTATATTTAAATAAATACATTAAAGGATTTATTTAATTACGTACTGGTGTTGTTGTTTTGTTTTTATTGCCTTACATAAACAATGATGTTCACCTACCAGACTGTTGTTATAGGTGAGTAGCTCATAATTAACTCTTGAGTACCTCATAATTAACTCTTGAGTACCTCATCACCGCCTCAACTCCAGGTAGCCAATCAAATGTATTGATCACTCACGCAAATGGTGATAAATATGACTGATTTTCTTGGACAATCACTTTCAATCGACTTACATCAATTGAACAACACTTTGCACCTAATCAACATGAGCGACAACTGTCTTTATTGTGACCGTGTGGTGAGGCCGAGGCAGCATGCGTTGCAGTGCGACACATGTAGCAGATGGCAACACAGGACATGTGATACTGGTATGTAATTCAAATATAGTTTCCATTTATGGCCGAAAATATGGTTTCGTTCAATAAAAAATAAGAAAATTATTTAGGCCATAAAAGGAATAAATTCTTCATCGTTATTAAAGTAACTTGATTTCATTAGATACTTTTAGCCCATTTGCAAGTACAATTATATAATGAAATGAAATCAAGTTTCTTTAAATATGTATATTTCATTTATGGCCGAAATATGGTTTCATTTAATACTAGCGCTCGTACAATATACATGTACGGGCACTGAGTATCTAATGAAATCATGTTTCTCATAAGCATGTACATGTATGTCGATATTTGATTATATTAAATATTAATCTTTGACTTTATCAAACATTATATGACCGCCGACGACATGTGGAGCGGACATATAATGTTTGATAAAGTCAAATTGTGTATGTTCGTGTACATGTAGGGCAGGCCGAAACTATGATTTTATTAATACTGGTGTCCGAACATGTAGAAGGACAAATAGTATATAATGAAATCAAGTTTCTTTAAATATGTATATTTCATTTATGGCCGAAATATGGTTTCATTTAATACTAGCGCTCGTACAATATACATGTACGGGCACTGAGTATCTAATGAAATCATGTTTCTCATAAGCATGTACACGTATGTCGATATTTGATTATATTAAATATTATATGTCCGTTCATATAAACAACAACACGGCGGATCTGTATGTTTTATCTTTTATGTTTTATTTATTACAGGGATCCACCCAGACACCCACAACATGGAGATGTTCCGTCCGGAATAAGAAGGTGTGGTGCCGGGCCAGCGTCAGCCAGCGAGGGGATGTGTTCACCTGCGGTACTGTTGACCATGTCCACGGTCCTGACAACTTGGCCATAAAGAGGGTGAAGTAAAGACTCAGGTGAGTAGATAAGCTGCCCTAAATACATGATAACTTAAGACCAATATACTATTCGATAATGGCGTTTTCATACATTTGAAAATACTTTCATATTCAAAATAACACAATTTTATACAGTATAATACAATGAGTTTAATCTATACTTCAGGTTGATCAGGTGTTCCTTGGATGTCCAGATTTCGTCATCGGTGACGTGAGTGCGGATGGCCAGCGACTCCTGATGTTCGCCACTCAGACCCAGTTGAGCCTTCTCAGACAGGCTCGCCGATGGTAGGTTACAAAGCAAAGCAAGATACATTTATATCCAAATATATATATTAAAATATTAAATATCTTAGTGGAAGTTGTTTTTTACCTTTGAAATCGTGTATTTGTTGTTTATAATCATTTAACTTAAATATTTGTTTTTCAAAGGTATATGGATGGGACCTTTAAGATCAGAAAGGAGCCATTCACTTAACTATGGAGAATACATGCATTCCTTCAGAAAGACGAGTGTTTGAAGCAGGTGCCGCTAGTGTTCGTGTTGATGTCTCGACAGCGAGCACAGGACTACGATGCTGTAAGTTATAACAATGCAATGATATAGATTAAATTGTTAATTCAAAACATAAAAACAAAGCAGCTAAAGCGGACAAATATAAAGTATCAAAAAAACACTCCACATATAACTATTGACATTAGCTTTATTCGTCATTAATTGATCTGTTCTTCCTTTATAGGTTCTTCGTCGACTCCTGGAGGTCCTCGGGGATCCGGCAGTGGAGGGAGCAGTGATGGACTTTGAGCCAGGTAAGTTTGATGAAAAGCGGATATAAAAAGTTGCACTAAACATCAGTGAATCGTACATGGAAACAGTTATTTGCTTATGATTAAATAAACTGTCAAAACTAATTGTGGCGTAACTCATAAAACTATTTTTTTCATTTCAGCCTGTTGGAACGCCGTCAGAACCGTCCGTCCAGGAGTGGATCTTCGGGGCTGTTCTTTCCACTGGTGCCAGGCTGTGATGAGGAAGGTGGCGAATCTTGGACTCAGGACAACCTATATGAAACGTGAAGGTGCGTATAATATGATGACGACGACGATGATTGGTGTTGCAACAAAACAATAGGTTTCACCTAGAGTTTCATATATGTCACGCCTTTATGTGTTACGTCATTAGTATCCTACACATTGGTGTTTCAGGTGTTCACTGCTTCATCAAGAAACTCCTGGCACTTCTCTTCCTGCCTGCCACCCAGATCGAGCCAGCCTTTGCTCGGACGATGCCCTTAGCATCAACTCCAGAGCTGCGACAGCTGGTAGAGTACCTGGACCGGGTCTGGTTCCAGAGCTCCGTTTGGACTCCAGCCAACTGGTGTGTGTATTGCCAGTCTGTTCGTACTAACAACGATGTCGAAGGTATGTACTTCGTATATGTTAATTCATTACGACTTTAAATAAAAATGGTTAAATTTCACTGGCAGTTTAAAATATAGATTCTACATGAAATAAGTATTTTGTGTACCTATGTTTGATAAATTTTATCATTATGATTTCTTTTTACAGGATGGCCCCGCAGGATGAATGGCAAGGCCGGTCGAGCGAACCTCCCCTTCTACCTCCTGGTCCCTCTCATGAAGAAGGAAGGAGAGATAGTGAATCTTCAGATGCGTCTCGTGGGAGAAAACCTGTTGGCGCGCCACCAGACCACCACCTACAAGCGTGTACAGGGCAAGATCTTTGCCCTGTGGGACCGGCTTGACTCTGGGGATCCGGACAACCGCCTCACAACATCAGACTTCCTGCGGAAGGTGGGAAACATCAACGCACCCAGAGAGTGATCATTTCCGACAAATAGTGTAGGACAGTGAAAAGGACATATAGTGAAATAGTGCGGTGAATAGGACAAATAGTGTATGGCGGTGAATAGGAAAAAATAGTGTAGGACAGTGAAAAGGACAAATAGTGTAGGACAGTGAAAAGGACATATATTGTTGAATAGTGAAATAGTGCGGTGAATAGGACAAATAGTGTAGGGCAGTGAATAGGACAAACATCCACGTGCATTTTGAACTTCAGATATAATAATATGTTTTGAGACATCAACTAAACATTATGGCTCTTAAAGAGGAGGCCTCCACGTGGCAAGAGCTGGTAACGATGTATACAGGTTTTAAAGGAAAAAAAACTGTATGCATCGGCTAACTTCCTCATTAATCATATAAAAAAATAATTCCAATAATTAAATCTAATTAAATAATGTCAGTGTTTCAGATTACACACAAAATGATAACTATCTTACGCGACGTATATAACAGATTACAATAGTACAGGTTACCTCCCCTTGTGGAACTCGCGACTGAGACAAGGAAATGCAGAAAGGAATTTATTAATTTAAAGATATATGTTCAGAGGTGTATATATAAATGAAACCCAAATAAAGGGATTATTATAACATTATTACATAGGGCCGATTTTACCTTGGGCCGATTTCACTTGGGTAAATCGAGGCCGTTTTTACCTTGGGCCGATATAACCATAAATCGCCTTATACAAGTGTCAGCTGTGGGGAATTTGGAGTCTTAATTGACAACGAAGGGGTCGCAGGTTCGAGCCCCTGCGACGGCACTATCTTTATCACTAATCCTCGTCTAGTACTAATATGAATAACTTGCTTATATATAAATTGTCTCGTCACAATCTACATTATCGCAACTACTCGTCCTATTACATAATATTTAAATCTAATTATTTCTGTTCACGGTGGTATTTAAATAAAAATATGCATGTAAGAGGGCACACATCAGTGACATGTCTATGACAGTCAGCAGTAATTTCAACTTTTTCCTTCCGATATGAGTACGAAATCATGGCTGCATTTATGGGTACGGAAACCGATGACACGAGGATACTTAAATTAATAAACACTCAAATACATGTATTGGTCCCAATATAGACACCAGATTAAACACAAATTTCATTTTTTTCCGGGGATGGGAAGAGGGGTGTGGGTGAGGATAGATGATCAAAATTGCATGCACATCGTTAACAATCAAACTAATTAAGCGCCTGGTAAATCTGCTCAAATTATGAGCATGGTGCAATATCACATAGGCCTATACGATAACGTGCGTTATTATGATCCCCATCGCTCATGAAGGTTAATATTCACAACGTTTTATGTACAGTAGTAGGCTTGATTTCTATTGATATTCTTTAACAGACTACAATATAAAGTTCCTCTTCCTCTACTTTGTCCAACATTATATAGTTTGACACTGAAATATCACATCATCTTACCCTGGTTAGATGGGCTTACTCCACATGTACATGACCACAACAAGATTACCGCGCACCTGTTCGAATTGGAAATATAAAGTCTCGAGGTGTTCCGAAAATACTATAACAGTATCCGAATTAATTCTCGCGAGAACTTGTTGCTACAGGCATGGCGGATTGTATACAAATGGAGTCCTAACGTATTACCATACTCACTACCCGAAAACCATCAAACATTAGTAACATGTAAGTTTTGTGTATGTAGTTTCGGAAAATGTAGTCAGTTGATGCAGAAACATGAACAAACAAAACCACTATTTCTTGCCTATTTTTAGGCCGGTTACAGTGACTGGAGAGGACTTCGAAGCAAAATAAGATAATCAGCAGTGATAAATCTTCACACACAAATTTATTCTGACAATATAAGAAAACTATGATGAATTACGATCCTTTGATGGTCAGATCGTTACATGATTATAGTTATAGTTCGGAGGCCATTTTTTCATTGATTTTTTTTTTTTTTTACGGTTGATTTTCCAGTTTTCATCTAATTGAATTCGTACTCAACTTGTTTAACCATCATTGCTTTTACTACAATCTAGTCCAGAGTCTTATACTTACAGAATTTTTATGAAACAGAATTTAACATGCTGGTACCCATATTTTTTTGACACAACAGCGATAAAGAGCACATAAACTCTTCTATGACCAAGTCTATTTGCAAATGACACCAAATTATCACCAAGAAATTAAAGGACAAAACAATTTAGAATGCATGGAGGAGTGGAGCAGAAAATGGCTACTACAATTCTTCATCTTCACCTTGAAATCTTCCTCCGTCATTGACGATTACAAAATGATATGGTCTTATGCACTAGTGTTGTTATGTACAGTGTTTTTCTATTCTATTAAACCCACAAAAATGCAAACACCTGCCAACCTGCCATATATGAGTAATACAACAAAGGAATAATTCCCATCATACTCCATCAATACTAATCTCAAACCTAAACAGAAGGATGTAATTTGTTGGCATCACTTCAGATTCTAACCTTTCATTTGAAGATCATGTAAGTGCATGTTGGTTATGCTGAGGAGAACATTCAAGTACACGGAATATGTACGCAGATAGTCTGTGTTTCTTATTCCTAAAAAAAAACCACTGGTCAGGATGTACTCACCTGGTCTTTGCGGGCTCTGTTTGGTACATGTAATTTGAAAATTAAGTGCATAGAAAAGGTGGATAGTTTTAGAGAAAGTCAGTGAAAAACTTACCTCAGGGGTGAACTTAGGAAGGATTTTACATACAGAGAAAGATATCGGACAAAACTTTACCTCACTGTGAGTTGTACATATGGAAAACTTACCAGAGAGCATAGTGACATCACCAGATATACAAATGTACACTAAAGAATGAGATATAAACATGTTAAAAAGTACACAGGATATCATTGGGCTTCATGGACTATATATATAATTGGATCAGTACCCAAATCGGATCCTCTTTTGCAAGAATACTTATAAATAAATAAATGTGTCGACAAATCAGTTATAACAATGATGTAGTCTTAGATTAGATAGCCATGCACTATTTTTTGTCTACAGATGATTAGTTTTTCAGTTCAAATAGCAAAAGAAAACGTAATTCAAACTCAAATGTCAGTGTTTTGATTATGTTTTTAAAAAATGGGGCGTGCAATGACTCTGCATTCTGGTTTGGACTATAGGAAGCAATTCACACTATAGAAATACTTATTGTCACATAAATTCTTAAGGTCATCATAAAATGTGGTAATATGCTGACAAAAAAATATTCATTTGAAGCGTAAGATACTGCAAAATTCAAGCCTTGATCCAATTTGGGTCCTGACATTCGCAAAAACCGGAGACGCTGATTGGTGACTTTGGAGCCTCAAGTGAGCCCCGGGTGTTAATTTTGTTTGTAAGAACACCCTTCAATATTCTACCTTTAATTTGATACAACCATAAATGAATATAATTCCTCCTCAAATTTTTCAATGATTTGATAAAATGATGGTTTGGTGATCCGATTTGGGTACTGTCACCTTATGTATATATCTGAAATTTATCAATAACTAGAGATGTGGTAAAACCTATGAGCATTAAATACTTACTTTATGAATTTTTTATTTTTTATTTTGAGCTCTTATCTTTCCTTCAGCTGTTCATGTCAGTAGATTGCTTCTCTAGGTATTCCGTCTTTTCGTATTGCAGAGTTATCTGCTCTTGTGAGCAGGTATTGAATGTTACGTCATTAGTTTGTGTGAGAAAATCATGTCGTTTTCTCAAAAATCTATGAGGTTACTCTTACAAACAAATGACGTAACAATCAATACCTGCTCACAAGAGCAGATAACTCTGCAAAACGAAAAGACAGAATACATAATCGAGATTGAAAAACAGTTAAAGAAAGTTCAAGATGTATGTTAACATTCTAAATCTATTGTATCCAAGTATTGGTGACCTCTTCTATTGATTTCCATATATAATATTTGCAGTATTGAAGTGTCTGTATCATCAGTATACACCTAAATATTATTATTTGCTTCTTGAAATGACTCGCATAAGGAAGATAGCAGGAGAAGACACTGCAAACAGAATCATTTGCATTTAATGTTCATATCAAGTTGTAGCACAAACTAATGTAAATATATACATGCATGAAATATGTCTCAAGGGACCTATTCTATGACCTAAATATAAGATTTATTTTATGATAATCTCTTATAACATACATGTTTGATATCACAGATATGTAGGACATATTAAATGTAAACTAAAAGTAGGAGCTGAATGAACTCATATTCACCCCTGGAATTTCATGACCTTTGAATTGGAAGAGTTAAATTGTGTCTTCAGGGGTGAATATGTTAAATGTATTCTGTAGAACATTTTTTTTTTTTCATTAATACAATTCAGTATGACATTTTGTTTACCCATTGATGAGAAGTTAACACATACATTGCTATGACAACAATGTATTTTACTGTTATGTTTCTTCGTCAGCTGAACAACAGAAGTAGTAAGATGGAGGAGCAGACGTATGGTGAGATGTACGGGGGAGAAGAGTACGTGGGAGTGATGGCAGGGGACGACTTCGACGATAATGGTATAATAGACTGTGACGACGGTGACGATGACGATGGTATGCTGGACCTGGGATCAGAGGAAGAGGAATCGGTAATCGAGTAAGTTTTTCAGTAATAAAATTGATACTTTTCAAATGTAAGAAAGTGTCACAAAAAACGATACTTAAAACAGTCTTCCTTGGTTACCCAAATAAGTTCCACTTTTTCTGGTCTTGGTTGACTTCGAAAAATCTTTAAATATATTACCATTTACAGCTAGTGTACTTGCTAAACATATCTATACTAGAGACAATAATTTGTGATAAAATTGTATTTGTATTTTTGAAATTTATAAATATTGGTAAAAATTCGAAAACATGGTGTTACATGTAGTATAATAAGACTATATTTGTAATGCAGAGAGCCAACTGTGTCTGTGCCGGAGGTGGACACCATATCTAAACAGGAACAGTTACGTATGATCCACCTGAGGAGTCACCTCAACCAGCTCACGGAAACCGTGAAGCACCACCGATATCTTACAGAGAAAACCAGGTATTTTATATACTTCGAACGGGAGGTAGATATTTTCTACTGCAATACCAGTTAGACGATTGATATTTTATCCTACAAATAAACAATATTTTATGCTACAAATAGACAATTGATATTTTATACTACAAATAGAAGATTGATATTTTATACTACAAATAGACAATTGATATTTTATGCTACAGATAGACGATTGATATTTTATGCTACAAATAGAAGATTGATATTTTATACTACAAATAGACGATTGATATTTTATGCTACAAATAGACGATTGATATTTTATGCTACAAATAGACGATTGATATTTTATGCTACAAATAGACGATTGATATTTTATGCTACAGATAGACGATTGATATTTTATACTACAAATAGATGCTATATATTTAAATATACAAATAGATGTAGATATATTGCATATCACAATTTTTTATTTTTTTATTTTTTTAAACAAATAGAGGATAAAGTAGCAACTACCTATTTAAGTGCCACTTATATTATTTTTTGCCAAGTTTATCAGTAGGTTGTAAATGTTGAGCACAAAAAATTTCCAATGACAATCTTGGAAGGTTTGTAAGTGAGAGAATGTATGATTTTTTTTAAAGAAAAATGGTTGACAGATTGGAGAGTGGGAATAAACCAATCCCTCTCTTTTTGACGTTTTTTTCTTCCATTGAATGTAACATTTTTTCATAGGGAGGAGCAGAAACAGTGTCGTAATAAAATTGAGACACTTGAGGCGGAGAGAGACCAGGTCTTCAATGAGATACAGGGTGCCGAGTCTGACAACAACACGTATGTATATATATACACTCATACTCAGTAACTTTAGCTGTTCATTACTGTTTCTTACTACAGTCAGAATAAAGGCTGTGTATCTGTATGTTACAATAGAAACATGTTTGTTAACACAATAGGTTGTATATAACAATAGAAACATGTTTGTTAACGCAATAAGTTGTACATAACAATAGAAACATGTTTGTTAACACAATAGGTTGTATATAACAATAGAAACATGTTTGTTAACCCAATAAGTTGTATATAACAATAGAAACATGTTCGTTAACACAATAAGTTGTACATAACAATAGAAACATGTTTGTTACCACAATAAGTTGTACATAACAATAGAAACATGTGTGTTAACACAATAAGTTGTACATAACAATAGAAGCATGTTTGTTAACACAATAAGTTGTACATAACAAACATGTTTGTTAACACAATAAGTTGTACATAAAAATAGAAACATGTTTGTTAACACAATAAGTTGTGCATAACAATAGAAACATGTTTGTTAACACAATAATTTGTACATAACAATAGAAACATGTTTGTTAACAAAATAAGTTGTACATAACAATAGAAACATGTTTGTTAACAAAATAAGTTGTACATAACAATAGAAACATGTTTGTTAACAAAATAAGTTGTACATAACAATAGAAACATGTTTGTTAACACAATAAATTGTATATAACAATAGAAACATGTTCGTTAACACAATAAGTTGAATATAACAATAAGTTGTATATAACAATAGAAACATGTTTTTTAACACAATAAGTTGTACATAACAATAGAAGCATGTTTGTTAACACAATAAGTTGTACATAAAAATAGAAACATGTTTGTTAACACAATAAGTTGTGCATAACAATAGAAACATGTTTGTTAACACAATAATTTGTACATAACAATAGAAACATGTTTGTTAACACAATAGGTTGTATATAACAATAGAAACATGTTTGTTAACCCAATAAGTTGTATATAACAATAGAAACATGTTCGTTAACACAATAAGTTGTATATAACAATAGAAACATGTTTGTTAACCCAATAAGTTGTATATAACAATAGAAACATGTTTTTTAACACAATAAGTTGTACATAACAATAGAAGCATGTTTGTTAACACAATAAGTTGTACATAACAAACATGTTTGTTAACACAATAAGTTGTACATAACAATAGAAACATGTTCGTTAACACAATAAGTTGTATATAACAATAGAAACATGTCCGTTAACACAATAAGTTGTATATAACAATAGAAACATGTTTTTTAACACAATAAGTTGTACATAACAATAGAAACATGTTCTTTAACACAATAAGTTGTATATATACAATAGAAACATGTTCGTTAACACAATAAGTTGTATATGTTGCAGCTCGGCCCTGTATCGCCTGAGGTCTCAACATGAGAGGATATGTACTGAGATAGAAAATGAACAGAAGCTGGAGACCCTGATATCAGAGCGTCTGGAGAAAGAGGAGTAAGTTAGAACATGACTTTAAGCAGTGTGAATTAAAGTAAATTGTACTGAAGGTTAAGTATCATATGAACATGTAGGTATTCTACACACCGATGCTTTCTTTATATGCTGCAGACCTTGTTTTTTTCTGTAATAGAGAACTATGAAAGTTATGTGTTTTTACATTCATCAACAATAAAGGTATCCTCCTTCTGTATTAACAAAGAGAACCATGGTGTATTAATTTAACAATCAAACTCAAATAAAGTATTTTGTAATTACCAGATATAACATAAACCTGGGTATAAACTTTAGTTTTATGTATGTTATATACTTAATAAAGAAAAACACAACACATGAAGGAAAACTATGATTTTTTTTTCTTCTGACCTTAAACTCACGATCTACTAAGAATTGTCAATGTTTTTGTTTAGATAGATGTGTTGAATTACAATTGACCAAAAAGGATAAGTTTGAGAAATTTTCAAACATCTTCTAAATAAATTCATTATTTACTCAATACAAGTTATATCTTTTAATTGTTGATAAACTTGCTGTTTAGGTATGAGCTAGCTAAGGTTGACGTGGAAAGAGGCAAGTTTTTGCTCCGTGAGGATGAACTCATTAAACGTGAACAACAGCTGGCCACAGAGAAGACTGATATGGCGCTGGCTCGTCTTCGCAAGGAAGAAATGAAAGCTAGGAAAGGGGAGGAGATTCTCCGCAAGCGGGAAAGGTTCGAGATATTATTAATATAGCATTGAGATTGTGGGGAAAAAATTGGAGTTTTAACTTTGTAACTAATTTCAAGGTTAATTCAATGAAAACTGTTAGTTTCATTTCTGACATTGAATGAATTTTTTTATCAGCTTTTAGTGCAGACTTTTATTAACTTGACATTTTGTCATTTCTTTATTATTTTGATAATAAATTTAGCACTTTGAAGATAATCACCATAATAGTATGATGCTAAAACATTGATTATTTTAGGAACTACGTGGAAGCAGTAACGGCGCAGCAAAAACAACAGCAGCATTGTCTGGAAAACGCCCAGAAAAGTCATGAAAAACACAGAAAATACCTGAATGATACTGTGGCTAAGTAAGTTGTTATGCTAGTGGTTAACATCACATGGTGAATCCTTGGTATAATGTTAGTTTGTCACTATACACGGAGACCTTGGTCTAATATTAGTTTGTCCCTATACACGGAGACCTTGGTATAATGTTAGATTGTCACTATACACGGAGACCTTGGTATAATGTTAGATTGTCACTATACACGGAGACCTTGGTATAATGTTAGTTTGTCACTGTACACGGAGACCTTGGTATAATATTAGTTTGTCCCTATACATGGAGACCTTGGTATAATGTTAGTTTGTCACTATACACGGAGACCTTGGTATAATGTTAGTTTGTCACTATACACGGAGACCTTGGTATAATGTTAGTTTGTCACTATACACGGAGACCTTGGTATAATGTTAGTTTGTCACTATACACGGAGACCTTGGTATAATGTTAGTTTGTCACTATACACGGAGACCTTGGTATAATGTTAGTTTGTCACTATACACGGAGACCTTGGTATAATGTTAGTTTGTCACTATACACGGAGACCTTGGTATAATGTTAGTTTGTCACTATACACGGAGACCTTGGTATAATGTTAGTTTGTCACTATACACGGAGACCTTGGTATAATGTTAGTTTGTCACTATACACGGAGACCTTGGTATAATGTTAGTTTGTCACTATACACGGAGACCTTGGTATAATGTTAGTTTGTCACTATACACGGAGACCTTGGTATAATGTTAGTTTGTCACTATACACGGAGACCTTGGTATAATGTTAGTTTGTCACTATACACGGAGACCTTGGTATAATGTTAGTTTGTCACTATACACGGAGACCTTGGTATAATGTTAGTTTGTCACTATACACGGAGACCTTGGTATAATGTTAGTTTGTCACTATACACGGAGACCTTGGTATAATGTTAGTTTGTCACTATACACGGAGACCTTGGTATAATGTTAGTTTGTCACTATACACGGAGACCTTGGTATAATGTTAGTTTGTCACTATACACGGAGACCTTGGTATAATGTTAGTTTGTCACTATACACGGAGACCTTGGTATAATGTTAGTTTGTCACTATACACGGAGACCTTGGTATAATGTTAGTTTGTCACTATACACGGAGACCTTGGTATAATGTTAGTTTGTCACTATACACGGAGACCTTGGTATAATGTTAGTTTGTCACTATACACGGAGACCTTGGTATAATGTTAGTTTGTCACTATACACGGAGACCTTGGTATAATGTTAGTTTGTCCCTATATACGGAGACCTTGGTATAATGTTAGTTTGTCACTATACACAGAGACCTTGGTACAATATTAGTTTGTCACTATACACGGAGACCTTGATATAATGTTAGTTTGTCACTGTACACGGAGACAATGGAATAATATTAGTTTGTCACTATACACGGAGACCTTGGTACGATGTTAGTTTGTCACTATACACGGAGACCTTGGTACAATGATAGTTTGTCACTATACACGGAGACCTTGGTACAATGTTAGTTTGTAACTATACACGGAGACCTTGGTATGATGTTAGTTTGTCACTATACACGGAGTCCTTGGTACGATGTTAGTTTGTCACTATACACGGAGACCTTTGTATAATGTTAGTTTGTCACTCTACACGGAGACCTTGGTATAATGTTATTGTGTCGCTATACGTGGAGACCTTGGTATAATGTTAGTTTTTCACTATACAAGGAGACCTTGGTATAATGTTAGTTTTTCACTATACAAGGAGACCTTGGTATAATGTTAGTTTGTAACTATACACGGAGACCTTGGTATGATGTTAGTTTGTCACTATACACGGAGACCTTGATACAATTTTAGTTTGTCACTATACACGGAGTCCTTGGTACGATGTTAGTTTGTCACTATACACGGAGTCCTTGGTATAATGTTAGTTTGTCACACTACACGGAGACCTTGGTATAATGTTAGTTTGTCACTATACACGGAGACCTTGGTATAATGTTAATGCCCCTCATATCATTCACAATTTACTTATGGTCAATAATGTATATCTTCCAGGCATCTTTTTCTTTTGAATTCCTTTATACATTTCCCTCAATATATCAACAAACCTTGTTGTAGCGCCAACTTTTGCAGGACAAATGGTGGAGTATAAAATGATTCTACTGTATAAACTTTCAAAACTAAAACATTTATTGTGAAATCACTGATTTTCGTGGGATTTTTTATTTCATTGATTTCGTGGGTAATCTTCATCCACAAATTCATATGTCCACGAAGTAATTACAAGTTTGATAGAAAGTAATTTCTGTTTGAGTGGGTACTTGTTATCCATGAATTTATTTGCCATCGAAATGATGTTTTGTCGGGAAACCATGAAAGTTGGGCCCCACGAAAATATCTGATTTCACAGTATTAATAGTCTTTGTGTAGACTAAGGGTTGATTCGCAATAATAAATCTAATGTCTGATCTGTCCTTAGGACTGTTGAAGTGTTCTGACCGAGTGATGTCATTGTAATAAGAAATCTTAGATGGCCACCAAGGGTTCAAATCTACAATAGCATTTTCATCTTCTTTTCTAGTTCAGATAAGGAATAAAAAACTGGTGGTAATACAGGCCTCATGTGTCTCTTTTTAGTGATACTTATAAGAAAATAAGAAATCTTAGGGTTCAGGATTTAAATGATTGTTTGTTTAAGAAAAATAACATGACTGCCAATTTTCATTCCAGACATAAAGTGCGTCAAGAGGAAGAGAACATTCGTTATAAGGAAAACATGCAGAAAAAAATGGACATGTTGCTGAAATTGAAAGGAGACATAACAGCAAACAGGGTATGTATATCACACTCTTCATGCCCAGTATACACCTTAACTATTCTATGCTCTTCACAGCCACTAGCACATGAACTGATTAAGATAGTTAATACATATGATGATACTCATGTATAATTATAAACCCTTTTTATTATTAATTATATATTAACCCCATTTTCTGTAAAATCTGGTAGTTTTCTGTTACTGGATACTCGAATAAACATAGGAAAGTGATTGTGTTTGTGTTTTAGGAGAACCTGAAGGCCCTCCACGCCAGAGACAAAGCCCTGGAGAAAGAGGACAAACAGAAGGAGGAGTTGGAGAGACGACGGATCCTGTCCGAAGGGGGAAACCCGGACGAGGTCCTGCTCATCCGTAAACGCCTCCAGGACTTTGACCGAGCTAAAACGTACAGTGAACCTTTGTAGTTGATTCCTATGAAATCTCACTATACAAGTTTCCTCATTACGTCAGATCAATTTTTTCTTAGATAACTAGGTATTTGTGTTTTTCATGTTAAAATTCATAGTATTAAACAGTTACACAGGTCGAAAAATACTTCAAGACAAGAAAAGAAATCTACAAGATATTAAGACGTACAGTATAGCAAACAAAACAGTCAACCAAAGTTGATTATAATCATCACGACTACACCAGAAAGACACTATACACTGAACTAAGTGGTTGTATGGTAAAACCATATTTATGTTTGATGTTACAGAGATTTTCATGTAGAACAGAAATCCAAGCAGTCTGCTATCATGGATAAGATCTTAGTGGAGGAAGATCGTATGAGGAAGAGAAAGAAACAGCTTCCCAATCTATGGGTCGACCCAAAGAAGGAGAAGGAAAAGGTATTTTATCATGATCATTGAAGATATAACTTTAATGTCTACAGTTTGTTATCCTTTGATTCTTCAAAAAAGATGGATACTGATTACTGTAATTCATACATATTGTTTGCAGTATTTTATAAAAAAAAACTTACCTTAGTCTCAGAAGGCCATGATATAATGAAATATCTTAAGATCAATCCCTGTGCCACTGCCAAAAACTCTAATTATGCATTTGAAACTGATCATCCAGCATGACTTTAACTTTGCCAAATCACTTCAGATTTTTTTTTATGGAAATTGAAAGAGATGAAATAAACAGAATTTAATCATGATCAGTATTCTGAGTGGGAAAATGTAGCTGGGCCAGAGCAGGATTCGAACCCTGGACCTCAGGTTGTTATACCATCTCTTTAACCAGCTGATCATGAGCTACTATATAGGTCAACGAGCATGCACTGTACCAATTTCACTACAGTTTTATAAAGATAAAAAAAACACCATTTTATCCAAAGCAAAATTAAGGGGAGTTTACTGTCTATAGTAAAAACCACAGTGCAATGGTACAGGGGTCCTTAACTTATTCACCCCTGCGATTTCATAATAAACTTCTCCAACTTTTAAATTGGAAGAGTTCAAATGAGTCTTCAGGGGTGAATGAGTTTAGTCTCAACCTACAACGTAACCAACCTGCAGCAAATAACATATAGGAGCTGTACTTTACTTTTAATTGCCAAAATATGATTGTACTGACGTTATAATTATCTGCATGACTCTGTGATTTGCTTCTAATGAAGAAAACTTAAAAGTTTAATTATAATAAAATCCTATTGATGACTAAATTAAATCTTGTTGTTTTATCTGACTGCTTGGTTGGTCACTCTTTGCGTGGTAGTGAACAATATGCCCCTTACTATAATTTCAATTAAATTCTTTAAAATGTATTACTTATTGAATACCAGTCGGTGGGTATAAACCACAAGGATAATCAAACAGTGTCCCATTTGACAATAAAACATGTATTCCTTTTATGTTAAGGTTGTGGGTCCCGTGAAGAAGAAGCCACTGAGGGTGTTTAAGGAGATGGATGGAACCTCGCTGTTTGATGAGACAGAAGTGGCGGGTGTGAGATTTGACATGGCTGACATCGAGGTAAACAGTTTGTCATGGTTCTGATAGCAGCCCACAATAATGGCTGTTATCTCATATTTAAATTCTTCACCATGTTTCTTTTAAATTATCAACAGTACAGATGCAAGGATATTTAAAGGGGAAATGTTGGCACATTTAAAAAGAACTATTTATATATTCATTAGCAAAACTAAAACTAGACCATATAGTCTCCACATTCATTTGATACTAATATATTTTGTGATATACATATAAACATGTATATATCTTACCGAAAATTTGGATTTGATAAATTAATATCAAGTTTATTATTTATTGGAATAAAATTTATTTCAGTTATGTATTTCTATCAGGTTTTAAGATTAGCTCAGCATTGCAAGGGAGTTTGAATGTGAAATTAATCTTTTGTTCGAGCTAATTAAGCTAGCATTTTTGGTCTTTTACTACAACACTTATTTTTGTTTAATATTTTTTTTAATATTGTAATGTAAAATCCTAAAAAAACATCAAAAATCTTTTGAAAATTATATTTTCATGTTCAGATTTAGAAAATAACAAGGGTGAAAAAAAGTTTAAGTTCCAGTTAGGACAATTAAATGAACTCTTACAGATTGACAAACTTTTATCTTATGCCCCCCGAGCTTCAATGATCAACATATCTTGCCTCAATTACAACTGTTTTAAGGAGATCTCAATGTATATCGATACCTATTGTTGACCTTACAGAAGATGGCGGAGGACGCTGCTGACCAGGAGGTGGACGCTCTGACTAAGGACTCGGAGATCGAGAAGCCGACCCCACTTCCAGATTCTAGTGACTCCAGTGATGCTGAGAGTGATGGTTAGTGAAGAGTAATCCAGGCTTAATCCAGGCTTTAGTTACTCTTAAATATCTATTTTTTTTAAAGAAAGCAAAATGATGCATAAGTAATTCTTATGAAAGATGCCTTGATGAAAATGGGTAGGGCTATCTTGAGTTATCAACCTTTTTTTTTTTTCAAACATACAATTATAGCTGGATCGCCGTGATCCTTTGATCATTTTGCAGTTAACAAGAAGTTTCTTTTAGGTACTTGGTGGTCATCTGTGCAGTTTAAAGATATTCAGAGTATACTTGGCCCTTAAAAACATTTTAGAAACTGGAAGCTGATCAATCAAGCAAGAAAGAGATAGTGACAGTGAGGGAGAGAGAAAGAAAGAGTAAATGTACTTCATTTGGAAGTATTTTTCTATTTTCAGACCTTATGATCACCTCAAAATCGCATCAAATCGCCGAGGTATTTTTTTGGTATATCATTAAACATAAAATGTGATAAAATCAAATACTTAATGGATAATATTTCTTAATTTCAAACAGAGGAACAAAAGTTTGATTTAGCTGAACCAGAGTTTGAGGGTCTTTGGGATCAACACAAGCCTTACAAGGTTCCTAAGGACTCTGAGTCAACACTCAAGTTACCAGGGGCAACCAAGATGGACAGGGTAAGGGTACAACAATAATGATCTAAAGGCAATATGTGGAACTTATGTAAATTAAAGATAAAAAAGATTGTCAGAGTTTGTAGTATCAAGTATCAAATTTTTCATTGATGATATGTACAAAACTCAAAAAAGAAAACTCTTTATTAAGAGAGAATTATTTTGTGAAAGAACTTACCTATTTTTGCTCATGAATATGAAACTTCACCTTTTTCCAGGAGATAATGACCAAAGTGCTAGACAAACACCGGTCTGGTATCATCCTAAAGCAGGTGGCTGCAGGACGCGAGTTCCAGGGCTGTCCCTTCTATAGCAAGCCAGATGACATCCACTTTAAGGTGTGTAGCTAATCTGTGTACCTGATTCCTCGTTACTGAATGCAACATTAGGATATCCAGCCATCATCATGTGCTGTAAATTAAGATGGTTTGGCAATTATGTAGGAATTTTAGGATTTGTTTGTTTGGGGTTTAATGTCCTTGCAACAGCAAGCGTCACATGAGGACGGGTGCATAGAGAGACACCTCCGGAAAGAGAAAGAAGGAAGAAAAGAAAGAAAACATATTAGGCATAATTTCAATTCCCTAGCTGTTGCAATTTTTATATTTCATCGTTTTTGGTTTGAGTATATGCTTTAAGTAACTCATTAATTCACTCTAAATTTACTACTCCTAGGACTGTTGTCAAAGTGGGGAGGGGCTTATTTACCAGTTGGGTCTTATTTGTGGTCAAATACAGTAACAAGCATGAATCTATTGTTCTTAAGGTTAAGAGTTGGATTTTGAATTCCTTGAACTAAATTTAGAAAAACAAGATGGATTTAATGTAGGATATGATCATATTGTCTGTAAAATATTTCATCAGTTTTAGAAAAAGGTTTCCTGGTATTTGTATAATGCTAGGTGTTGTGTGATTACAGGACTTTGTTGTCGGACACACATACAAGAAGAAGGTCACTCTGACTAACGTGTCATATACTGTCAACTACTGTAGATACATCAACATCACAGAGCGCCTCAAGGACTTCATAGAGATTGTGTAAGTAAAGGGCTCATACAGATTGTGTAAGTAAAGGGCTCAGTGAGATTGTGCAAGTAAAGACCTCATTAATGTGTAAGTAAAGGACTCATAAATATAATGTGTAAGTAAAGGGCTCAACAAGATAATGTGTAAGTACAAGGATCATAGAGATTGTGTAAGTAAAGGGCTCATAAATATACTGTGCAAGTAAAGGGCTTATTAATCTACTGTATAAGTAAAGGGCTCATAAAGATAATGTGTAAGTAAAGGGCTCATAGAGATTGTGTAAGTAAATATCTCATACAGATTGTGTAAGTAAAGGGCTCATAAATATAATGAGTAAGTAAAGGGCTCATAAATATAATGTGTAAGTAAAGGGATCAAAGAGATTGTGTAAGTACAGGGCTCATTAATGTACTGTGTAAGTAAAGGGCTCATAAATATAATGTGTAAGTAAAGGGCTCAAAGAGATTGTGTAAGTACAAGGATCATAGAGATTGTGTAAGTAAAGGGCTCATAAATATACTGTGTAAGTAAAGGGCTCATAAAGATAATGTGTAAGTAAAGGGCTCATAGAGATTGTGTAAGTAAAGGGCTCATAAATATACTTTGTAAGTAAAGGGCTCATAAAGATAATGTGTAAGTAAAGGGCTCATAGAGATTGTGTAAGTAAAGATCTCATACAGATTGTGTAAGTGAAGGGCTCATTAATATAATGTGGAAGTAAAGGGCTCATAAATTAAGTGTGTAAGTAAAAGGCTCATAAAGATAATGTGTAAGTAAAGGGCTCATAAAGATTGTGTAAGTAAAGATCTCATACAGATAGTGTAAGTAAAGATCTCATACAGATTGTGTAAGTAAAGTGCTAATAAATATAATGTGTAAGTAAAGGGCTCATAGATATAATGTGTTAGTAAAGTGCTCAAAGAGATAATGTGTGAGTACAGGGCTCAATGATTTGTGTAAGTAAAGGGCTCATATAGATTGTGTATGTTCAGGGCTTATTGAGATTGTGTAAGTACAGGACTTCATAGAGTTTGTTTAAGTAAAGGGCTCGTAGAGATAGTTAAAGTAGAAGGCTTAGAGTATGTGTAAGTAAAGGGCTCATAGAGATTGTGTAGTAAAGGGCTCATAAATATGATGTGTAAGTAAAGGGCTTATAGAGATTGTTTAAGTACACAGGGCTCATAGTGATTGTGTAAGTAAATGGCTCAGAGATTGTGTAAGTAAAGGGCTCATAGAGATTGTGTAAGTAAAGACCTCATAGAGATTTTGTAAGGACAAGGCCCGTAGAGATTACATATACGTAAAGAGCTCATAGAGATTGTGTAAGTAAAGAGCTCATAGAGATTGTGTAAGTAAAGGGCTCATAAATATGATGTGTAAGGAAAGGGCTTATAGAGATTGTTTAAGTACACAGGTCTCATAGTGATTGTGTAAGTAAATGGCTCAGAGATTGTGTAAGTAAAGGGCTCATAGAGATTATGTAAGTAAAGACCTCATAGAGATTTTGTAAGGACAAGGCCCGTAGAGATTACATATATGTAAAGAGCTCATAGAGATTGTGTAAGTAAAGAGCTCGTAGAGATTGTGTAAGTAAAGAGCTCATAGAGATTGTGTAAGTAAAGGGCTCATAGAGATTGTGTAAGGACAAGGCCCGTAGAGATTACATATACGTAAAGAGCTCATAGTGATTGTGTAAGTAAAGAGCTCATAGAGATTGTGTAAGTAAAGAGCTCATAGAGATTGTGTAAGTAAAGAGCACATAGAGATTGTGTAAGTAAAGGGCTCATAAATATGATGTGTAAGTAAAGGGCTTATAGAGATTGTTTAAGTACACAGGGCTCATAGTGATTGTGTAAGTAAATGGCTCAGAGATTGTGTAAGTAAAGGGCTCATAGAAATTGTGTAAGTAAAGGGCTCATAGAGATTGTGTAAGGACAAGGCCCGTAGAGATTACATATACGTAAAGAGCTCATAGAGATTGTGTAAATAAATGACTCATAGAGATCGTGTAAATAAAGGGCTCAGTGAGATTGTGTTAGTAAAGGGCTTGGTGAGATTGTGTAAGTAAAGGGCTCATAGAGATTGTGTAAGTAAAGGGCTCATAGAAATTGTGTAAGTAAATGGTTTATTGAGTTTGTGTAATAGAGCTCATCGAGCAGGATTTGGTTTGGACAAACACATGTAGACTTTGATTTATATCTAATTGATATGCACTGTTGTGATATAATTGTTTGGAAAAAAACTGCAATGTTATACCTGGTTGAAAAGTAAGACTATGTGAAAACTGTTTACATGTGTAAAACGATGTAAGGAAGAAGCTAAAAACCAACAACAAAGTACACATCTTGTATATAATTTCATTTATATCTTTATAAACATGTGTCATTCGAATGCAGAATGTTTCCCTGTACTAGGTGTATTTACATACATGATATGCTTCATCTGTAGGTTTGACCCTCCAGGCCAGATGTCCGCTGGTCTCACATGTGAGATGCTGGTTACCTTCAAACCTATGGTAAGTGATCATGAACAATGGGAAATAAATTGTACAGACTGATGATAAGGGAAAACTGACATATAGACTGGAAGTAAGGAGTAACTTATAGGCTGATGATAGGAGTTTATTGTAGAGAAAACTGATATACAGTCTGGGAGTAAGGAGTGACTTATAAGCTGATGATAGGAGTTTATTGCAGAGAAAACTGATATATAGTCGGGGAGTAAGGAGTGACTTATAAGCTGATGATAGGAGTTTATTGCAGAGAAAACTGATATATAGTCGGGGAGTAAGGAGTGACTTATACGCTGATGATAGGAGTTTATTGCAGAGAAAACTGATATATAGTCTGGTAGTAAGGAGTAACTTATAGGCTGATGATAGGAGTTTATTGCAGAGAAAACTGATATATAGTCTGGGATTAAGGAGTGACTTATAGGCTGATGATAGGAGTTTATTGTAGAGAAAACTGATATATAGTCTGGGAGTTAGGAGAAACTTATAGGCTGATGATAGGAGTTTATTGTAGAGAAAACTGATATATAGTCTGGGAGTAAGGAGTGACTTATAGGCTGATGATAGGAGTTTATTGTAGAGAAAACTGATATATAGTCTGGGAGTAAGACAGAACTGTTATAGGGCGATGGTAAGAGTTTATTGTAGTGTTAATTGATAATTGCAGTCTGACAATGATGAGTTAATGTGCTCCCGAATGTGATGGTAATGTTCCTGTATGTTTCAGATAAATGAGGATCTCGTGGGTGAGGTGAACTTCCTCTCACAGACCGGCCCCTTCTCCATCCCACTACACTGTAGCACCAAGAAATGTGATGTAAGTTGTTTTTACAATGATCTCATAATACAATACCTAAGCTGTTTAAACTGATTAATTTTTTGTTTGTAAAATAATAGCATTCTTGAATCAATCTAAAGTCAATAATACTGGTGTTAATGAACTTGTAATATCTCTAATGTGGTTTAAACATTCAACATTACTTGATTAAATACACATTTATAAGTACAACATTTATAAAAAGTGTTAAATGTTTTTAAGTATATTTTGCAATTCCAGCTTCAATTTGTATTTCTTTTTTAAACATCCAAGGAGACATGGAAAAGCGTATTGTTAACATATAATTTGCAGGTTTACAATTACGTGTTTTGGAAGGACAATTGTATACATGTTATGACTATTTTCTGTTAATCTGTTATATAACCTCTATATTTACTTTCTTTACAATGTAGTTGTCAGTGGACACCAGCGTGATCGAGTTTGGGACCACGGTCATTGGCGAGACTTTAAAGCGTACATTCACACTGACAAACAAAGGTGCCCTAGGGACAAAGTTTGAGTTCTTCAAGGTCACAGGGTCAAAGCAGAGGTCAGAGAGTGCAGCAGAAACATCTCTGGGAAGGCTGGTATGTTAATGTGAGAAATAAACAACATTGACAATTTAAATATCTCTGGGAAGGCTGGTATGTTAACGTGAGAAATAAACAACGCTGACAATTTAAACGTCTCTGGGAAGGCTGGTATGTTAATGTGAGAAATAAACAACATTGACAATTTAAACATCTCTGGGAAGGCTGGTATGTTAACGTGAGAAATAAACAACGCTGACAATTTAAACGTCTCTGGGAAGGCTGGTATGTTAATGTGAGAAATAAACAACGCTGACAATTTAAACGTCTCTGGGAAGGCTGGTATGTTAATGTGAGAAATAAACAGCGCTGACAATTTAAACGTCTCTGGGAAGGCTGGTATGTTAATGTGAGAAATAAACAGCGCTGACAATTTAAACGTCTCTGGGAAGGCTGGTATGTTAATGTGAGAAATAAACAGCGCTGACAATTTAAACGTCTCTGGGAAGGCTGGTATGTTAATGTGAGAAATAAACAGCGCTGACAATTTAAACGTCTCTGGGAAGGCTGGTATGTTAATGTGAGAAATAAACAGCGCTGACAATTTAAACGTCTCTGGGAAGGCTGGTATGTTAATGTGAGAAATAAACAGCGCTGACAATTTAAACGTCTCTGGGAAGGCTGGTATGTTAATGTGAGAAATAAACAGCGCTGACAATTTAAACGTCTCTGGGAAGGCTGGTATGTTAATGTGAGAAATAAACAGCGCTGACAATTTAAACGTCTCTGGGAAGGCTGGTATGTTAATGTGAGAAATAAACAGCGCTGACAATTTAAACGTCTCTGGGAAGGCTGGTATGTTAATGTGAGAAATAAACAGCGCTGACAATTTAAACGTCTCTGGGAAGGCTGGTATGTTAATGTGAGAAATAAACAGCGCTGACAATTTAAACGTCTCTGGGAAGGCTGGTATGTTAATGTGAGAAATAAACAGCGCTGACAATTTAAACGTCTCTGGGAAGGCTGGTATGTTAATGTGAGAAATAAACAGCGCTGACAATTTAAACGTCTCTCAAATGGCTGGTATGTTAATGTGAGAAATAAACAGCGCTGACAATTTAAACATCTCTCAAATGGCTGGTATATGTAAGCGTGAGAAATAAACAACACCGACAATTCAATCAATAATAATCACCTGATTTCTGGGTAAAGTAGTGAATTCATGATTGCCGTATTTTCCATGCTGCCTCCTGTAATGATGCTAGATTTAAGATAACAGACATTAGGACATGACATTGTTGCTATGAAGTCAACATGCAGGATGGTAGTTTTGCTATATTAGTAGCTTGAAATACTCACAGAGAAATCAAATTTTAATTAGGTGCAGTTAAGTATGGTTTGCTAAGTTTTACACATGTTTTGCCTGGTTTTTACCTGTTTTGTACCTGTTTTTTTTTTTTTACCTCATATGGGGAGTCCATTTGGGGCTCATAGACTCTCACACATCTATGACCAGGTTTTAACAAAGCATAGCCGAATCAAATTGTCGGTATGATACGTCATTTCATACATGTATAACAACTAATTAGGGTACATTAGAGCTTATAGCGTATCTGGAACATATTTTATACCATTGTGTACATTTGTCTGATGAAGGTGACACGGTACGTATCGTACTAGCCACTGAAATGTCATACATAAACACTTACTGGTTGTGATACATAACCTTTCTAATAATGTTTTTCTTTTATCTGTATTTTACTTATTTTACTTATGTAACTTACAGACGACAGCTGACACTACCCAGGCTAATAGTCCGGACTCTGCCTCTGTGATGGTCAAGAAAGATACCAAGGAACAGCCACCTGCCAAAAAGCCCTTAGATGGTGTGTGTTTGTGGGGTCAACATATGATTCTGTAATCTGTTTAAGGCAAATGAGTCTTAGGGATCAAACTGATGGTCTTATTTATTATACCCCTTTGTTTTGCTATTAAAGGGGGGGGGGGGTGTATAGTTATCAAGATATCTACACCTGATAACGTTTTGCATTTTTTAGTGGTTACAAACAAGGTTAAAGGGTCAAAGTTCAAACTTGACTACTTTTGAAGTAGTACCTGTGTACAAGATATCTACATTACACTTAAACATATATGAATATGTTTTTCCAAATCTAGTACACTGAATCTTTCCTGAAAAAGTTTTATTTCACATGAGAAGCCATGAAATGGACTTACCTGTTAATAATGGATTATATTTTAAGATCTGGACAAAGCCAGCCAAGATGTGGGAGGTGGATCAGAGGAAGGACACCAGGTGGAGGGCCTGAGTGCTGTAGAGGGGGAACAGCCTGCTGAGGGCGAGGAGAATGGTGAGGCTGACTGACTACATGGTTTAATTAAATCATGATCACAGGTTTAAGTCATTACCTTGATCAGGATTCCCAGATCATAAGAGTATATCGTTCTTCAATTGGTAACGTTACTTTGAAAGCTAAAGGTCATTCATAGATGATTTAGGCATTAAAGGTGTTGACCTCGGTAATGTTAAAATCAACATCCAAAATAAAAGGTTGTGACCTTGCTTAAGTTTAATTATTCTTACATAAAAGTGGTGACCTCGATAAATTTACCATTAACAAGTAAAGGAAGTCTTTTTAGCACAGCTTATATTCAACAAAAATATCATGGTTATGTTCTAACTAACTCGGTATCTGTAATTTTAATACTGTAGACTTGCATATTCAAATGTCAATTTTAGTTTTCTACTATCCCCAACTTTTCAAAAAAACGAAACATGAGATATTCATTTGATTTTTTATACTCTTCAAGTTGCAATGAAGATTTATTTGTATGTGTCCAGTGATTGCTGAGTCCCCGGAGCTGGTGGTCAGTGTAATGGAAGACTATGGGGCCCTAGATGGAATGAAGATTGGTCAGTTGGCTGTAGGAGAACTCGAGCCATTCTCCTCCGTCAAACTGGAGATCATCTGGCAGCCAACAATACCAGGAAGGGTCGACTCCGAGTTCCTCATCAGCTTCTCAGATCCTCTCTCAGAAAGTGTGAGTAAACTTAATCAACCATTACATCAAGTGTGAGGTCGTGTCAGTATAGTACATCAAGTGTGAGGTTGTGTCAGTCTATTAAATCAAGTGTGAGGTTGTGTGAGTCTGTTACATCAAGTGTGAGGTTGTGTCAGTCTATTACATCAAGTGTGAGGTTATGTCAGTCTATTACATCAAGTGTGAGGTTGTGTGAGTATATTACATCAAGTGTGAGGTTGTGTGAGTATATTACATCAAGTGTGAGGTTGTGTGAGTCTATTACATCAAGTGTGAGGTTGTGTGAGTATATTACATCAAGTGTGAGGTTGTGTCAGTCTATTACATCAAGTGTGAGGTTGTGTGAGTATATTACATCAAGTGTGAGGTTGTGTGAGTCTATAACATCAAGTGTGAGGTTGTGTGAGTATATTACATCAAGTGTGAGGTTGTGTCAGTCTATCAGATCAAGTGTGAGGTTGTGTGAGTCTATTATATCAAGTGTGAGGTTGTTTCAGTCTATTACATCAAGTGTGAGGTTGTGTCTGTCAATTTCATCAAGTGTGAGGTTGTGTGAGTCTATTAAATCAAGTGTGAGGTTGTGTCAGCCATTACATCAAGTATGAGGTTGTGTGAGTCTATTACATCAAGTGTGAGGTTGTGTTAGTCTATTTCATCAAGTGTGAGGTTGTGTCAGTCTATTACATCAAGTGTGAGGTTGTATCAGTATAGTACATAAAAAACAACTTTAAAACTTGTGTCTTATATATGTCGACACATATAGATAATTAGTAGACTTCAATGAGATTCATCAATTTGGAAACATGTAATATCAAAGTTTTACTTTACAAATAAACTCAATACATGAACAGAGATGAGGGGGGGGGACATCAGATGAGCCATCTGTATTACCCAATACTGTCAGAACAGGAGAGGGGGCCAGATCTACACTCTACCAGTAATTATTAACCTATTCGATACAGCGTGTATACGCTCTCTAGATCTATCGATAGGCGAACATCCGGGTTAAGTGACATAAGAAATTAATACAATTTGGTCACATCGTTGTACAGGTAAACAATACAAATTGTTCATTCAGTGACAGCTTGACAAAGCGATCAGTCAGTCTTGAAACGTTGAATGCGTACATTGTTTGTGTATAAAGTAAAAAAATCATATAGATATTCAGTAGAGTTTTCTCTGTGTACAGATCTCAGTGCAGGCTCTAGCCAATGCTATTGATGTACCTGTGTGGGTGGAGAGGCAGACCATTGACCTACGTATCTGTATGTATGACCGCCTCTACCAGGACACCGTCATCGTCAACAACAGGTCAGAATCTCTCCTACCACTTAAGTTTATTCTGTAGCATATTTTCAGAAAACGAACTATATTATACAAATTATGTCATTTGCTGAAGTCTGTGATTGTTTTTATAAATTGGAAGTTGTAAGTGATTAATGGTACATTGTAGTATGAAATTAATGTAGTTTTATACCAGTACAAGTTAGTAAATAAACTTGTATGTTATAATTATATGTTATATGTTATATGTGAAAAAACCCAAAAAACATCACTCAATTAGTTATCATCATCAGGAATAAAATAATACCTTATTCTGTTTTGGGATGTATACTATAAAGGAAATGAAGGACTACTGCATAATTGTCTCTTCATTACTTTCGTTTTGTCTGATATATGCCAACTAGATACATGTAGTAATAAAAAAATCCAAAGTACCTGCAAAGCAATAATCAGATCATCATTTTGCCTGTATTTTGTTCTATCAATAATTTATTCAATTGATGACTTTGATATTATATCCTCCTGACAGAATTTTTGCGTGTTTTACAGAGCAACAACAGCTTTACGTTTAAAGTTTGAAGTTTGTAAGGAGTTGAGGAATCATCTGGAACTACTCCCTAAAACAGGCTACATACAGGCACAGTCTCAGTTCTCAGCTCAGCTTAAGTTCCTGCCCAGGTTTGTTGATTCAAGCCCATTTTCTAATTATAATTTATCGCATCATGATAGTTTCCTATAAACTATATAAAGTTGATCAACAAATTCAATACAAAAATTCATTACATTTCTAATGGTTTAAGTAACAGTGACATTTACCAGTATGAAAGTAATACACAATCCAACAAAATGCTTCCCACATAAGATAAAAAAGAATACAGGGAAATGTGTCTTATATTGAAATAATTAACACTGGAAAATCAAAGACAAAACTCTGTTTCTGACACAGATATTGGAAAATATGATTTCCAATAAATACATGCTGCTGGTTTTGAGTTCTTATTGTGTAGGTACGTAGTAGGTGATATTAATGTAACTGGGACATCCACTTATTTATATATTATTATTTGCTAACCTAGAAGATGTTTCTCAATTTTTATTGATAGAAAAAGTCTGTTTGAAGAGGCTGGCAAGTACTTTGACAAAGAGACAGGTGTACTGGAAGCTCCAATGACCATAAGAGTAGCAGATCAGGTCAGTATAGACCTGTAGATATACTCTTATAAGTTATATACCTTATTATAGGTTTCTCTGTCTCCATCTCTGTTTGGAGAAATCCATTCAGTGTCAATCCTTAGATAGATTAAAACATTATAGAGAATTATTTTGATAGACAACACTTTTTATCATATTACCTCGTACCTGGAACTACGGTTATTGATTTGAGTAATTAAAAAAACGATCAAATCAGCTGTGGTGATGACCTCTGACATGGAGTTTGACACCACCAGTATTGACTTTGTATTAAGATATGATGCCTGATCGTGTTTCAGACTGCCCCTGTACCTTTCACTGTACAAGCTGTGGTGACGACCTCTGACATGGAGTTTGACACGACCAGTATTGACATTGTATTAAGATATGATACCTGATTGTGTTTCAGACTGCCCCTGTACCTTTCACTGTACAAGCTGTGGTGATGACCTCTGACATGGAGTTTGACACGACCAGTATTGACTTTGTATTAAGATATGATGCCTGATTGTGTTTCAGACTGCCCCTGTACCTTTCATTGTACAAGCTGTGGTGATGACCTCTGACATGGAGTTTGACACGACCAGTATTGACATTGTATTAAGATATGATGCCTGATTGTGTTTCAGACTGCCCCTGTACCTTTCACTGTACAAGCTGTGGTGACGACCTCTGACATGGAGTTTGACACGACCAGTATTGATTTTGGATGCTGTACCATTTATGAGTCGGTGAAGACAACCATTAAACTCACAAACAAATCAATCCTTCCCCAGGAGTATGGATTTGTGGGACTCCCCGACGTAAGTTTAAAGATTAGTGGGACTCCCCGATGTAAGTTTACAGATTTGTGGGACTCCCCGATGTAAGATTACAGATTTGTGGGACTCCCCGATGTAAGTTTACAGATTTGTGGGACTCCCCAATGTAAGTTTACAGATTTGTGGGACTCCCTGATGTAAGTTTACAGATTTGTGGGACTCCCCGATGTAAGTTTACAGATTTGTGGGACTCCCCGATGTAAGTTTACAGATTTGTGGGACTCCC